TCAGTGATGTGTGTGGAGGCAGCCGGCCAGCAAGTTACATGTGGCCCCTTTCACAGAGAGAGTTTGTTTCGGGTGGGAGCCGAGGCAGAGTGTTCCCTGCAGCAAGCAGGAATTCCTCCTTTACCTAGTGGGAGCCATAAATATCTGCCCGTCTGTGACTGGAAATATACATACATATATATAACATGCTGTCAGTTGGGGTTCGTGTGCAACACTGGGCTCCTCCTGGCTGCTGGAGCTCCCCCTCCAGAGCTCACACACACACACACACACACACAGGACACACACACACACACACACACACACACACACACACACACACACACACAGAAACAGGCAAGGTCTGGATACACACACACACACACACACACAGAGAGAAACAGTCAAGGTCGGGAGAGGAAAGAGAACCTGAGAAAGGGAACGTGAAGAAGGAAGGACAGAGAGAGGAGTGTGGAGCCAAGAGAGAAAAATGAGACCAGAAATGGGATTCCAAAGGGAAAGGTGAAGAGCTCAATAAAGCAAGTAGGGGGGCTTCAAGGACTGAGAAGGTGGAGCTGGTGCAGGATGGAGAAAGGCAGTACTTGGGGTGGGGGGTGGGGGAGCGTTGTGGCTGTTTCAGGGGATATGGAGGGACCTAAGGAAGAGGGGCCCACACTGCCAACTGTTGGCTGAGTTTGGGGGGGGGCTGGATACTGCAGAAGGCCACAGGCCATCGATGCCGGGGTGAGGGGGGGCGGTGACTGATGATATGTGTGCAGATGAACAGGGAGTAGCCCCAGACCCAGGAGCCGTGCTGAGACAGAGTCCAGATCTGTCACCTGCCCCTGCATAGTCCTCCCTTCCGAAAGCCTCCATAGTGGCCAGGGTCCTCAGGCACTATGGGCAGATGGCCTCTGCCTTTGAGGTGTGGATCACATGAGTAGCCCAGGTCCCACGCAGAGGGCAGTCAGCAGAGCATGCTCCTGTGGGTGACATAAGCCGGCCTAACCACCGAGAGCATGGAGAATAAGCTGTGGGCTCTGAGATTCTCTCCATCCCCAAACCTGGCCGGGCCTCAGGGACCCTGATACCTGTCTGCCCAGGGCATCAAGCCCAGGCATCGGACACAGTGACTGGACTGTTTTTAGGAGGCTATATTCGATGGGCCTCATGCAAGGAAGCTTAAAACCAGGGAAGATGCTCTCTGGTCCTCAGGGCCAGGATAGAGGGAAAGGTTGAGTTGTGTCAGGGCCAAAGGGAGGCAGTGGTGCCCCTGGCTGCTCTTTCCCATCTCCAGTCTCTAGGATGTGAAGGCAGAAGTAGTCTCTGAAGAGAGGTGCAGGCAGGGGGGTTAGGGTTGCTTTGCTGACCTTAGGGTGGCCCTGAACTGGGGGTGTGCACTTAGGGTCCCCACCGCTCTGGCAACCAGGCTGAAGAGAGCGGAGGCCTGAGAGGCTTCTAGAGGATGTGGCCCTGGAAGGCTGGGGAATCAGAGTGACAGCCTCAGGGGCGTGGGCCGGGGGAGGGTGTAGGGGGAGGATAAAAGATGGAGCTGGGCACCTGTCTGCCTTGTGCTAGCCAACACTGTCCCTGCCCCTCCACTGGCCCACAGGCCACCAGCTGGCCCATTATCCCTGGCGAGAAAGCAGACACTGGAGGGGGGCTCCCATGTGGCTGCAACTTACTCATGCAAACCCACCCGGCAGGGACTGCCAGGGGAGAGCCACCCTGTTCTGGGTCGGAGGCGAGGGGGGGGGCGCCAGCAGAGAGAGGAGCCCCTGCTGTGCAGCAGTCAGGTCTCCTCCTGTGCTGTTGGCAGGGGGCAGTGCGTGGGGCCTGTGAACAGGAGATAAAGAGTTCAGGCAGAGGGTTTTTTCTCACTAACCGTGGATTTGTATGTTTGTTCAGCTGGTGGCTCTGATAAGCCCCATTCTGCCAGATAAAAGCTGAGCAGCCATGAGGCGGGGCATGGGGAGGGGTGTCATAAAGGGACCTTCCTCCTGTCTGTCCTGAGGCCTGGGGTTATCCCCTCCCCCAGGGAGCTCAACAGGGAAAGGAGTCAAGATGCTGGGATGTCATGCTCCCTGGTGTGCTAGCCTGTGGTGCAGCCTCTGATCCCAGAGGGCTGTCTAAAGTAGGCCCGGACCTTGGGGCATGGTTCCCCAAAGAGCCCAAGAAAGCTGGCCAGCTGGCTCCCTCCCCTGGGGGCGGGTGGTGGTGGTCTCCTCACCCTCCCTAGAAGCCTGTCCACCAGGGCCCGGTGGCTGTTTGGCCCTGCAGCTGCTGTATGGGCTCCTGCCAGCCCCCTGCCCCATCTGTCCACTGGGTGGACAAGGGCCTGCCCCCATCATGTCCCTTACTGACTTGTCAGGGCAGGGGTCCTAGTTGAGCCCCAGGGCCTGCGACTGGCCTGTGGGGGCTTCAGTGCCTTTGAGCGGACCATGGTGTCCCCAGGGCCCCGGCTTCAACCCTCCCTTCCCCTTCTGCTGGGTGCCGGCCGCTAGGGTGAAGGGGGTGCTGCTAGAGCAGGACGGTGGGGCCCTGGCTGGAGCTGCCCCTGCTGCAGGGCTGGCTCCTCAGCCTCCGAGCCTGGGTCCAGATTTCCAGCGTTTCTGCCTTTTGTCCTAGAGCTGAGCTGAGCATGCCGGGGGCCGGCGGGGGTGGCATTGTGGGGACGCTGGCTGGGCCGCCAGCAGTAAGATGGCTGCCAAGGGCTAAAATGGCTGCCAGCAGCGCCTGGAGGCGCGTGGCAGCGGGCCTCGCCCGCGCTGGATCCTCGCTCCCGCTGGCTCCTTTACATCAAGCTAATAGTAATAACAGCAATAACGTTTCGGGACAGTATCCTGGTTTAGAAGGATTTCCTGTCTATCGCGCTCTCCTGGAGCCCCATTTGTCTCTGCCGTAGTCGCTGGCCCACCTCCATCTCTTTGTCGGGTTCTCTCTCGCCTTTCTGTCCTTGCGCTGGATGTGCGCATGCGCGCAGCTTTCTGTCCCCACCTGGCCGCGTTCAGGGCCCCTGGGTGGACGACTCTGGCTCCCCCAACTCCACGGACCCAGACCTGGAAGGCTGGTGGGGACGGAGTTGGTCCCAGGTTGGGTGGGGTCAGTAGCAGGGGCCCCTGGGCAGCAGAGCCCGGAGCATGTGCCCCTCAATGGGCTACACACGCTGGGCCTGTGGCTCTGCCCTTCCTAAGTTTTGAATAGAGGAGAGGGCAGCCCTGGGAGATGAAGCAGGCTCGGGGCACCCTGGGTCTAGGGAGGTCCTAGAGTGGACCGCCCAGTACCTCAGCCCCTCACCTGCTCCTTCCTGGACTGGCAGGGGGGTTGAATCAGACCTAGATAGCTAGGAATAGGCCAGGGAGAAAGAATGACAAAATTCATACCCACAAGTCACTGTGGCACAGAGAGGGTGCCCTCCTGGGAGCATGGGAGGAGGAGGTCCTGTAGATTCTCTCCAGAGCAGAGAGGGCCAATAGCAAAGAGGTGGCCTGGGGTAGGATTCACCATCCCCAAACACACCACAGGGGTGAACACAAAGGGAGGTGTGGCAGGCTGCACCCCAAATTGGAGGGGCTGAGGGGCCATCATTAGCATTTTCCTTATAAACTTCTGTTTTCTTGATTTGTGACAAGATTTTATTTATTTATTTTTTGGACTTTAAAAAACCAAACAAGGTAAAGAATGGGGAAAGTGGGGCCTGAAACTGTCCTGTAGGCAACCGGTCCTTTCTCACTGGTCACATCGAGGCAGGTGGCCAAAAACTTGGCCTGAGCCAAACCTGGGCCTTCGCTCCCAGAGGGATGCTGTTATTCTTACCAGCCCCTGTCATCCATCACTCTTCCATCCCTCCTGAGTGGCCTAGTGGCCACAGGGCACTTTGCTGCAATCTCTTGGGCCCCCGTCTCGTTGTTCTTTTAGGAGCTTCCTTGTTGGTCACTCCCCAGTGTGAGCAGCTTGGCTGTGAGGCCAGTGAGGGGTGGACTCTCCGGCCAGTAGGCTGACCTTGGGGTGGCAGGTGAGACTCAGGAGGCAGGGTCAAAGAGTTGGGCAGAGCCTTGGCCAATACCAGGGCGCGGTTTTCTGATGCCACCCCCACGATGTCCCCTTGTGAGCAGCCGATTCTTTACCAGATGCCTAGCCTTCCTCCTGCCCCACAACCTGCCCTGGCCCCCCTCTGCCACCCTCTCGCCAGCTGTCCTGCCTGGGCAGGCATTCTGGAGGTCCCCATTGTGCCCCTGGCACACAAAGCTTTGAGGACCTGGGGGGCGGGGGTGGGGGGGGCTTTCCCAAGCTCAGCAAAATATTCACACACACACTCCACCCTGCCCCAGCCCTCTGTGAGCTCCCACCGCACAATGGGCCCTTGTCTCGGGACTCCCTCTGAGCAGCTGTGGCACTGGGGCATGAGACAGCCCAGACAGGCTGGCACAGAGCGGGCGACGGCGCCAGGGCAAACCTCCCCCCTCCGTGTTGCCAGGCACTGCCTGTAAGCATAAAGGTGAGGTGGGGGTGGTTGAGGCTGACAGGAATGGCTGTAATTAATGAAGTGAGAGAAGGAAGAGGCTGCTCTGCTGGGAGCCCGAGCCGAGTGGAGGATGGGGGACCCTTGGGTTCATCCCAGCTGTGCAAAGAGATGGTCACTGGCTTCTCTCGTGGGCACCGTCCTCGCCCTGATTCTCAGCCATTGCTGCTCACCCGGGGGCGACTTTGCTGCTAGGCACATTGGGCAGTGTCTACAGACAGTGTTGGTTGTCAGACTTGGGTGCTACTGGAATCTAGTGTGTGGAGACCAGCGCTGCTGCCAGCCACCCCGCAGTGCCCAAGATACCCCACCACGGAGCAGGATCTGGCTCCAGTGTCCGTAGGATGCACTTGTTCCTCTTTTTCGGGTCTCCCTAGGCTACTCCCCTCCGAGGAGAGGGTGCTGTGAAGGTGTTTACAGGGCTGGAGGGGCAGCTGCTCGGCTGGTGTATGGGGGGCACTTTGATCTTGACCCATTCTCCCCTTTGTGTCTCCTGCAGAATCCGGACAATCAGATAGTTCAAACCAGCAAGGAGATGCGGACATCAAACCACTGCCCAACGGTCAGTGCCCCCCAACTCCCGCTGGCCCATGCCTAGCCTCTGTGGCCTGCCCTGCCCCCACCTGCCCTCCCACCCCTGGCCAACCTGGCCTCCGCTCTCCCTCCGTTTCTTCTCCTTTACTCAGCCATTCCTCAGCTAAACTTCAGCTGACGTCCCAAGGGGTGGGGGCTCACCTGAAGCATACTCACTCTTCTGTGTAGACATGAGGGCCCCTGAGGGCCAGCCTGTGTCTGGAATGTGAGGCTTGGGAGGGAGGGAGTCAAAGCAAGAGTGGGGAGAGCTTCGGGGAAACAGGCAGGCAGCCCCTCCTAGCCTTGCCTGACTCACTCACTTGTCCTTTCCCCTCTTCAGGGCACTTAAGTTTCCAGGACTGTTTTGTGACTTCCGGGGTCTGGAATGTGACGGAGCTGGTGAGAGTATCACAGAGTAAGTGAGTTCTTTCTTTCAGCCAGGGCTGAGCGCAGCAGATTGGGGGTGTAAGGAGGTGGGACTCAGACCCAATGTGGCCCCCCGCTGGTGGGGTCTTGGCAGAGGGGCAGACAGGGTTTCCTGGGACACTCTGCCCATTGGTACTGGGCTAGGTGGAGCAGAGGCGCCCAGAGAGCCCATTCTCTAATCTCCACTGCTTTGGAGAAAAAAATCACAACCAAGGGCTCTTCCCCAAAGACCCCCAGCCAGGAGGAGGCTTCTGGGGAGCTGCTCATGACAACAAAACAAGGCCCCATTGGGCTTTCCACACCTCAAACTTTATCACCTTCTCGCCTTTTCCCAGCTCCTGTTGCGACAGCATCAGGGCCCAACTTCTCACTGGCAGACCTGGAGAGTCCCAGCTACTACAACATAAACCAGGTGACCCTGGGGCGGCGGTCCATCACCTCCCCTCCTTCCACCAGGTGAGCCCAGCACCCTGGCCTCCCCCCGCCCCCCCATCCCCAGGCCATCTCAGGTGCTATAGGCAGCTATACCTCCAAGGCCTGGGTGCCTTAGAAGGTCACCCCTTGTTGAGGGCGTGGGCTCCAGAGCAGCCGGGGCCCACCACGCTACCAACCCCCTGAGCTTCCTGCTTCGTGCTGTCGCTGGGCATTTGGTGCTGGGGACCTTAGCCCGAACAAGGCACGACTGTGCCTGGAAGGCACTCCCAGTGGGGATCTGAGAAGGCCTCTCTCTTGCGGAAGTGACATTTGAGCCCAGACAGGCATGGGGTGGATGCTCCAAGTAGAGCAGCCTCCATCCCAGCCAAGGATGGACATCCTGGTGGGACCCCCAAAGAGGGCTCTGGAAGGTATTTAGACTTAAAACCCACTGAAGGGTTTGAAGCAGGAGATGCTGGGGGATATGTGTTCCAGAAAGTGCCCCTCGCAGCAGCATGTATGGGCAGGACTGACGGCCAGTTGGAGGCTGGAGTGGAGGAGGGCCTGAGCTGGGTGGGTGAGTGGGGTGAGAGGGTGGGACCGAATTGGGAGGTGTTTGGGAGGTGGATATATTCAGCCCTAGTCAGGGCCAATTGTTCAGGACAGGGAGGGATCCTGTGCTTTTTTTTTTTTTTTAAAAACTTAAACTTTTGGTTCATTGTGAGGTTTTCGGCATTCATTTCGATTTGTTAAAATATTACATTATAATACCATAATAGCTTCATATTAGTATTGTTTTAATATAACATAGTATCTTGGTGTCTGAGTTTTGTGGCACCCTTTGGGATTTTTGTCCCTGGCAAGTGGCCAGGGAAGCAGTGGAGGAGGCTTTTGCCCCCTCTTTGACCTGGGCAGCTCAGTGGATGAGGGTATTGTGGCCTGAGAAGGGGCTCAAGGAGCAGGAGCAGGTGGGCTGGGCCCCGAGGGACTCCGGGACCAGTCTAGTCTTAGGGGTGGACACGTAGTGAGTGCCTAGGGGTGCTGCTGTCATCAGGCACCTGCTCCCCACACGATGGGTCATCAGTGCAGTTTGAGGAGCTGCTGTCATCAGGCACCTGCTCCCTCAGTTTGAGGAGCTGTACCTCCATCTTCCTTTGGCCTACCTGATCCCTCTCGTCTTCCCCAGCACCACCAAGCGCCCCAAGTCCATCGACGACAGCGAGATGGAGAGCCCTGTGGATGATGTCTTCTATCCTGGTACAGGCCGCTCCCCAGCAGCCGGCAGCAGCCAGTCCAGTGGGTGGCCCAACGATGTGGACGCAGGTATGGACGCTGCAGGGCCCACCCAGAGCGGGGCGGCTGGAGCCTCTTCTTCCCTCTTGGTTTACCTGGCGAGCCTCCCTCCGGTTCCCCTGCTGTGGGGTGGCACTACCTGTCTTCTTGCATCTTGATTTTCCAGAGGAGGGCAGACCAGGCCGAAGGAGGGAGTGGAGGCGAGGAGCTGGGCTGTCCCTATGTGGGCAGCAGAGCCCATGGGTGTGGTGGAAGGAAAGCAGAGGCCCCAGGCACCGAGCTCTCATGGTCTCCTTTCCCTGGAGAAGTTGCCCCAGCTCTGTGGTCCTCATGGTTTAAACAGGTCTCTCAATCTGGGCGCCATGGACATTTGGGGCCACATCATTCTCTGGGGTGGGGCCATCCTATGCACTGTAGGGCATTGAGCAGCAACCCTGGCCTCCATGCACCAGCCAGTAGTAACTCCCCACTCCTCCCCAAAATATAATGACCAAAAATGTCCCTAGACGTTGCTGAATATACCCCGGCATAGGGGAGCGGAGAACAGAAGCATCTTGAGAACGACTGGTCTGAAGGGCCCAGCATCACAGAGAGGAGCGGAGCCTAGTAAAGAATGACCAGAATCATTTTTCCAATCAAGCAGGAAAGCTAGGGAAGGGCGAAGGTCTAAGGGAAGCGTGGCCAGTCCTCCCAATACCCTCCAACCACCCCTTTCTCGGTGAACCCACCCACCTTCACTTCCAGTCCTGACTGGAGGCGTGAGCAGACCGAGAGAACCCAGAAGGAAAGGAAGGAGAGGTCGCACGTGTGCACGCGCTTGTGCGTGTGTCCACACGCCGTATGTATGAGGAGGCTGGCTGCGGGATACTTCTGCCTGACACACTGGTGGTATAACCTGTGTGTATCCTTGAGGTGCGAGTGTCTTGGAACCAGGGAGTGTAGACCCGTGTGTGGGGGTTGTACACGGGGCATGTCTGCTCTGGTCAGGCCTGGGAACAGGAGCTTTGCTCTTGAGGCAGGAAGAGGAAGGCCTGACCTGATGTCGCTTTGCCTGGTGTTTTCCAGATGTGCCTCTACAGAGATGGGCCAAGTGGATGGGTCGGGGCAGGGGCTGGGCGAAAAGCAAGGCAGAAGGGTGGGGAGGCGCTCCTGCTTTCCTGTGGCCCAGATAGAGTTTGCACAAGCTCTCTGCTCTCGGCTCCCTGGGAGGAGGGGAGGAGGGCTCGTCTCCAGACCTTGGGCCTGGGGAGCGGGCTCCAGACCAAGAGCAAAGCTCACCTCTGTGGGACAGCTCTCCGGCAAGTCTTCGGGTGTCTCTCCCAGGGTTTCATGTGGCAAACAGAGACCTGGGTCGACACAGCCCAGATACTTCCCTGGGAGAGAGAGAGAAGGGGTTGAAAATGCCCCGAAGACTCCGCAGCCAGGGCCTCAGTTAAGTGACTGTCCCTCAAGGACTCAAGTGCCTTGAGAGCCACATCCATCGCTGTCTCCTGGGGCTCAGCCCCCAGGTCCCTCTGCCCTGACCTGGTGCTCAAAGAGCTGTCCCCTCTCTGACTCCCACTCTTTATTCTCAGCTGTCTGCTCCAGTGCCTGTCATTTCTGCTCCTTCCAGCTGTCCTGCCATGCACGGCCCCCAACATCCTCCTGCAGCAGCCCCAGCTCCCTTGCTTTCCCTTCTTTTCCTCCGTACCCGCACCCCCCCCCCCTGCGGTGTTGTTTCCCTGCGCTGCGACAAATCGCCAATTAAGCAGCCCAGCTGCAGGACAGGGAACAGCTGGGGAGGTGCTGTGCGGCCACGGGGACAGCTGTGCACAGCTGGTGGGGGTGCTCCCCACCCCCGCACTGTGCCAGCTATCAGGTGGCACACAGCTGCTGCCAGATAACACCTCTGCTGGCGGCTGGGAGTTCGCCCTTCCCCCACCGCTTCCCTCTGTGGTTAAGACTGCAGCCCCCACCCCCACCCCCCACTCAGACTGATTCTGTGCCTGAAAGATGGCAGCTCTGCAGATCTCCACCACTCCATCTTAGCCCTCCCATCCTGGGCACGGCCTTCTCCAGGCTCAGCCCAGGACAGGAGACAAGTTCCCCTGGAGGACCTGGCCCAGGGGCCCTGCTGTGTCAGAGCATCACCTGGACATCATGACCCCCTGGCACAGAGATGACCTTGGTTGGCAGCATCGGGATCCTTCAGGCAGAGCTGCAACGGGGTGTTCTCTGTGCCCCTGTCTCCCACTGAGTGCCACCCCATCTCTGGCACCAGGAGAAGAGCAAAGCCCCGAAATGACCCATCCTACAGCTGCCCAGCCTCTGGATCCCCTGGCAGGGGGTCCTTTCCTGTCCCGCACTGCCCCCAGTGCCCGCCCAGGTCCTCCAGCCCCTTCCCAACTCTCTTGTCGGGTGTTGTATCACCCCTGTGGTCCCTCCTGAGGATTGGTGGCTTCTTCCTACCAGAGCCTCCCCCAGTCCAGGGCCCCACAGAGCAGACCCCAACCCATCCCTCTTCCAGGTCCCCCATCACTCTGAAGCTGGCTCCCCAGGGCTCCTCCTGCACACCTTCCCCGCCCCCTGCCCCTGCATCCCACCTTTTCATCCTGTGCCCTATGAGCTTCTTATCTGCTCATCAGGGAGCAAGATGGGCCCCCTTGCTCATCTCCTACCCAGCGCACCCAAGGGTCTCGTTTTTCTCTCCGATCAGAGCACCTGTAGCATACCGGGCCTGAGAACCAGAGCTGGAATGGGGCAAAGGAGACAGGAAGGGGGTGTGGTGGGGAAGGGGTAGCCGGGAGGGGGCCTGAGGAGAGAAGGAGCTAGCTGCTGGCTTCCCGCCTTCCCTTGCTCTCGCCCTGGCCCAGCTAAACCTGCCCTGTGTTGCTGATTCCTCCCCCCAGGCCCGGCTTCTCTAAAGAAGTCAGGAAAGCTGGACTTCTGCAGTGCCCTCTCCTCTCAGGGCAGCTCCCCGCGCATGGCTTTCACTCACCACCCGCTGCCTGTGCTTGCTGGAGTCAGACCAGGTGAGAAATGGGGGGGCTTGGAGGGGGGCAGTGGGGGAGGCGGTGGAGCACTTAGGGGCAGCTGGCCAGGTGAAGGAGCCGGGGCTCCAGCCCGGGAGTGACAGCTGCAAGCTCTCTGAGTAGGTCGAGGTCTGGCGGAGGGTGGGCATGGGAATGGGCCCTCCCTCCGAGGCAGCCCCTCCTCACCCTGTTCCCAAGCACCCTCCCACTTGCTTCTCACTCCCCATGTGCACGTCTGTGCGTCGGTGCGTGCGTGTGTGCGCGCATGTGTGTGCTGTGCAGCACCGGCCTGGGGAGCGGGTGTCCTCTCCCACCTGCCTATGACGGCGGAGGCCTCAGACCCGCTGCTGCCCGCTCTCCTTCCCTCCTGCCGGCCGTGGGCGGGAAAGTACAGGCTGCTCCCTCTGTCCTCCTTTCACCTCTTCTCTGCGGGCTCCTGGCTGAGCCCAGGGTCTGGTTTCCCAGCACCGACTTGGGGCGCTGTGGGGCACAGATTGACAAGAGCACTCAGGGGAGCCCAGGCCCCCTTCTCAGGCCCTCCCTGCCCTTTTCCAAAAGTGAAGGGCTAGGCCGAGGGGCTGGTAGCACCTGGGTTGTTCTCCAGGGAAAGGAGCAAGCCCACTGCCTTGGGGGGCTCTCTTGCTTCTGTCTCGGGAGAGGGGGCTTGGTGGGGGTGGGAGGGGTAGGGACAGCTCAGCGTTCCTGAGGGGATGGAATCCGGCAGGAAGTTGTGGGAACTGAGTCCTCAGCCTCCCTGCTTCCTCATTTGCTTTCTCCCCCCCGCTTGGTACCCTTCTGGCAGAAAGAGGCCTGGACTTTTTTCTGGACACTGCCCTGTGTCCACCCGCCTGCCGTCTTGCGGGCCCTTCTGTAGGACACGGAGAAGAGTGCGGTTTACCCTCCCAGCCTCCTCCTCGGGGCCTCCTGGCTGAGAGCCCAGAGGCAGCCTGCACTGGGGCAGGGTGTGGTGGCCACGGGGTGGGGGCGGGGACCCCAGGCCTGTGTGCAGGCAGCGGGAGGGCGGCAGGCCCAGCTCAGCTCAGCTTTTATGAACTCCAGAGAGAAGCCAAGTTTGCTCAGCCCCCTAATGAAACTGAGAGCAAGAGCGAGCTGATTGGAAACAGACTGGAGGGGGAGGACTGGGCCCAGGGAAGAGCTGGGGCCTATGCTGGGGTGGGAGCTGCGTGTGGGGAGGATGCGTGTGCAAGGACCGTGGGGCTGAGCACGCGGGAACAGGGCCCGGGCAGCAGCGGCCAGAGGCACGGTCACGTGCGTGCAGGAGCCGGGTGTATGCACTGCAAGGGCTTGTCCTGCACAGGCAAGCGGCCCTGTCTCTAGCCAGAGCCTGGGAGTCCTTGGCCTCCTCCATCCCTCCTCCAGACTCGCACCTAGGCCCTGGATCAGGGTGAAGGCAGTGACACTCTGCATTGACACCACAATGCAGAGTGTCAGGAGGCACCAAAATCTTGGCCATCAAGATAAATAATATTTAATGTAATATTTTTTAAAAAATTGAAACGATTGCCAAAAAATATACAAGGAATAGCTGCTATCAACGTTTTAAACAAAAGAGGGGACTGGCCTTGCATTTGCCTGACCTTGCCTTGTTCATGTCACCCTAGCTCCAGCCCTGCTTCTAATCAGACTTTATTACAAAGACGAGCAGGTAGCTGACCAGCCCTAGTTTGCCAATTGGACTTTTTATTTTAAAAAGTATTAAAAAAAAAAGATTTATTTATTTGTTTTGGCGGGGAGGGGCCGAGGGGGAGAGAGAGAATCTCTAGCAGACTCCCCGCTGAGCGCAGAGCCGGGCATGGCACTCGCTCCATGTCACAACCCTGCGATCACAACCCTGAGATCATGACCTGAGCCAAAATCAAGAGTCCGATGCTTCACCGGCTGAGCCGCCCAGGCGCTCCGCCAATTCGGCTTTTTTAAAAATACTGCATTAAGATATTACTTACCTCGATTGCCGAATCATCTGGCACCGCCTTAACTTTCTCACCAGACGCTGGTGCCTCACTCTCCTCACCCTGGTCCTGGCCCTGATCTTACCCCATTCTCCCTTTTCGTCTGGTTCCTCAGTGCTTTGTCTGACCAGCAATCCCCCCCCGCCGCCCCATCTTCCATCGCACCCCCCTCTACCTGCTAAGCCCTGATGCCCTCTTCTTCCTGCCCACGGGCACGCAGGGAGTCCCCGGGCCACAGCATCAGCGCTGCACTTCCCCTCCACATCCATCATCCAGCAGTCGAGCCCGTACTTCACGCACCCGACCATCCGCTACCACCACCACCACGGGCAGGACTCGCTGAAGGAGTTTGTGCAGTTCGTGTGCTCGGACGGCTCAGGCCAGGCCGCCGGACAGGTGAGTCCAGAGGCCCCAGGAGCCCTGCCACAGCTCATCTCTGCATCCGTCCGTCTGTCTCGGGGCTCACAGGGAGAGGGTCCGAAAGCCGGGAGCCCTCCTGGGGCTGGAGCAGCAGAGAGTCGGTAGTGCCAGACACCTCCATCTTCTGGATCTGGGGGTAGGGGTCTGTGTGTAATGCCAGGGCCTGTCTGTCACAGTCCAGAGTTGGGGGCGGGGGCAGTGGCCGGGCCTGCTTTGCTTGGGCTCCTTGCCCTCCCCTTGGTCTCTGTGCCCCCAGTAAGAGTGTATCCGTGATCTTTCCAACCCAGCCTGGACTCCTTACCTCGTAACACCCCTCTTAAAACCTCAGAGCTACAAGGATTGTGTAGGTTCTAGACCAAGGGTTCCTAGCCTTGGCACTATTGACGTCTGGGCTGTTCATTCTCTGTTCTGTGGGGCCGTCCCGTGCACTGTGGGGTACTGAGCAGCATCCGTGGCCCCCCCCCTTAATGCCAGCTGCATCACCCCCTCCCAGTCCTGATGATCAAGAATGTGTGCCCTAGGGGCATCATCATTTCCTGGTGAGAAGCCCTGGGTAGAGGAAAGGCCCTCCCTCCTTCCAACAGTTGTTGTGGCGTCTCCTGTTGGCAGAACTCTTAGCAAGAGGTTCCCCGGTCAGTTATTGTTCTGGAGCAAAGCCCTTCTGCTCCTCAGCCTAGGGGAGATGTTGGTTGCCCATGGAGCTCTGTCGCCCACTGCCCTTCTCCGTCAGCAGGCCCTAGGGCCCAGTCACTGACAAGCAGAAACATAGGCCACTCAGCAAAGGGCTTATCCCAGGCAGGGGTGGGCCAGAGGTGACCCTTCAGTGAGACAGGGGTCCTCCCTTAGTCCCTGGGAGCACTCCAGGTTGGGACACAGTGGTCCCTAGACCCCTGGGAAGGCTGTAGAGTCCCAGCAGCCCACTGCACTGTGAGAAGGCCCAGCCCCTCTCCCCGCAGCTGGTCCAGCCTGGAAACCCGTTGTGAGAGGTCAGGTGGGAAGGACACTCAAAGGGCCGTGGTGGGGAAAGGCGTTCGGAAGCCCGTGCCAGAGGTGTCCCAGGGAGATCCGTGGGCGGCCCTTGGCCCCGCAGCCCAGTGCTGCCTCAGGGCGGCCTGTACACATGGGCATTTGCTAAGTGCTGGCGTATTGATTTGGGGCTGGGCTGCGGCTCAGCCTCCTCACTCTTGCTCTCCAGAACGGAAGCTGGTCGTCTTCCCTCTCTCCTGTTCTCCCTCCTTCTGCTTTCCTCGTTTCCTTCTCCCCTTTTCCCTGTGAGGTTTTCTCTTGCTGGCTCTGCAGCTCCTTAGCATACTCAGAGCCTTGCCCACCTCTCTGGACAAGCTCTGTCCACTTTTAGGGGCATGGAGGGAGAAGTGGCCGTGACCCCCAAAAGCTACTACGCCTCCTTCAGAGATGCCAGCAGAGTCTACGGGAGCTACCAGCCCATGTCCCAGCGCCCAAGGGCCCTGGGTCTGGAATATGGATCAGAGAGTCCAGGAACTCCACCTTGCCTGCCTTCTCACCCACAGAGGCAGCTGGGGTTTGGAACCAAAATGAGACTGACCTGAGGGACCAGTTTAGCCCAAAGAGGCAAACCTAACTCACCCTCAGGAATATGGTTCAATCCATCCTTAAGCATCCTGATGATGGCTGGGTCCTGAGCCTCTCCTTGACTTGACCGTTCAAGATTAAGGGCTCGTCTGGTCCAGAAGGCAGATGGATAAAACACTGCAGACAGGAGGGCAAACAGTCACTCTGGTTAATCAGAGAGCCTAATCCCGCTGGGGAGCAGTCTCTCTGGGTTTCCTCTTGTGGCCTGCTATGCCCAGAGAGCGGGGGGGGTGTCTTCAGTGAGCGTCTCCCTGGGGCTTGGCAGCAGGCTCTGGAGGAGGAGTGAGCCAGAGGCCCCAGGCTCCACAGCTGTCCTGGTGACAGGGGATGGCAGTACCAGGCTGCTCTGGTTCCGTGGCTACCTCCAGAGCAGTGGTTCTCAGTCTTAGCATGCACGAGTCACCGGAAAGGCTCAATAACACACAGGTGCCTGGGCTTCACCTGATTCTGATTCAGCAGGCCTGGGGTGGGGCCGAGAATCTACATTTCTCCCCAAGTTCCCAGGTGATGCTGTTTCTGGTCGGGTGACCCACTTTGAGAACCATTGATCTAAAGCGTAAAGGAGTAAATTGCTAACCTCTTTGAGAATGTGAAGTTACAGATCATCTTTGCAGAAAAAAAAATACGCGTACAAAATTTTTACAATTTGCAAAAGGGTTCCCAGGTACCACCCCTGTGCTCATCCTTGGACCACAGCATGAGGCCCTAATTGAGAAGACCCAAATCAGTAAAGGCCAAGGCCAAATGGACACACCACTCAGAGGAGATGCAAAGGGCCGAAGGAGGATGCCTGGTTAGCTGTATTTCTGGCGGAGAGAAGAGACCGCCCAGTGAACGCGATGGAGAAGTCACAGGGCCCGATGGGAGAGCGTGACTCCGGGAGGCAGGAAGACTGGTTGTAGGTCAGCCTCAAGCACCAACGCGGGAGCGGCCAGGCCTGCGTCTTCACCTGTCTGTTGAAAGTGAAGAGCTATCCCAGTCTCCAGGTTCCTTCTAGCTTTTAACTCATGAGGTTTCAAGGCATCGCAAAACCACAAGACCTCGAGATTTTTTAAAACCTCAACTCGTACCCCGATCAGAGCTGAGATATCCTAGCCTGGTTGGAAGTAGTTTCCAGAAACTAAATGTAAATCAGCCGTTTTCGATGTCTGGCCATGTCGAGCTGGGGTTGGCTTCATCAAGTGTGATGAATGATTTAGGTCCTCCTGAGGGGAGACAGGGTCTTGAGGACTAGAAGAAGGCACTGGCCACCCTGTGGGAGCAAGGGCTACCTGGAAGGCTCTGTGTCCCAGCCCCCTGGGGGGGGCCCAAGCTCAGGATGGCCTGGAGTAAAGGAGTGAGGCTGTGATCTCTCGAGACTCCCGTTTCCTGCCCTGATGGAAGAACAAGCTAGGCACCAGATAGGCCGCAGACATGAGGGGAGGCAGTTGCCTGTTTCTGAAAGGACACCTGGCACAAAGGGTCTCCAGCCCAGGACACAAACAGGGATCAGCAGCCCCTACTTGCTTTTGTCAGGGGACCTCTGAGTGGGCAGGAAAGAGCAAATCAAGGAAACCGTGGGGGGGGGCAATGTCAGACCTAGGTGCTGGTCTTTAGAGGTGAAGGGTGGGGGGGGGGGCACGGCCAGAGCTCATGGGGGGGGCCTGCACGGGTCAGACGTGGGGCTCGATGATTTGAAAGTGCAGCAGGATGGACTGGTCGATTCAGCTCAGTCAGTGGGACTTGAATGCTGCACACCTGGGCCACACGGAGGTTGCCGTCCCCAGGCTTGCTGGGGAGCCTGGGAGGCAGGCTGCTTCAAAGGCTATGGTGGAGGTCGTGAGCATCCGAGAAAAAAAAAGGCAGAGAGAGATGGATGGTGATTTAGGGTATCTGGCTGGTCCCAAGTTGGGGATGGTGTTTTCTGAGCAGGCCTTAAGGAGTGTGGGAAGGAGTGTTGTAGACAGAGGGTTCTGCAGTGAGCACGTACGTGTAGCCCCCAACTGCTTAGGCTGTGTTCTGGACACCCCAATTGGTTTGCAATGGGGAGTACTTGGAAGGAGGTGAATGTAGGGGCATGGGTGGTGGAGGACCCCATCTGGGCTCCACCATAGGGGCCTTGGATGCCCAACCGGGGGGCTCGTATTTTATGTTACACGCAGTCAGAGCTGTGGAGTGGGAGGGGAAAAGCCTGAGCACCTTTGGATTTGGAAAAGAGGGTTAGGATGAGCCCGCTGGAAAAAATCCACAAGGTCCCTGGAGTGAGAGAGACATGGCTGTGAATTTCAGGCCTCATCAGTTACCGCTGGGTGACTTTGGATAAACCACTCAGCTGCACAGAGCCTCAGTTTCCCCAGTTGTGAAAGGGGGAGAATCAAGCTTCCCTTGCATCAGGGTTTCCCAGCCACGGCACTATTAACCTTTGGGTTGTTGGGCCTTTATCCTGGGGCCATCTCGTGCGTTGTGGGGTGTGTAGCAGCATCCCTGGCCTCCACCCCCCAAGACACCAGCAGCACCCCTGGAAATGGTGCTACCCAACATGTCTCCAGACATTGTTAATGCCCCCCTGCCGGGGACAGAATCCACCCCACCGCCCCCACCCCAGGCGAAACCTGCTGCCTTACAGGGTTGGAGGATTGGACACCACCTGAGTAAAGTACCTGGTACAGAGCCAGGCGCTGAGACACTGAGCTAAGGAGTACACTGTTAGCACAGGGGAGACCCCTTGGGAGTCTTGGTCCTAATCCAGGTGGAACCAGTGAGGATAGAGGTTGGGCTGGCTCACCCACCAATAGAAGGAGCAGCACAGGAGCCTCCCAAAGCCTTGCACCTGGGTGGCTGGGGGTGGGGCAGAGCTCTGCCCCTCGAGAGAGGAGACCATTTAGGACTCAGCTCTGGCCCACCCAACCTAAGCCCAGGCTGTAGGTGGTCATCGAGAGCACTGCCCAGAGCTCCAGGGAGGCCTCTCCAGGGAAGCTGTGCCTGCAAGAGGCCAGGGACCTCTGCCCCTCCCTGTGGTGCCTACGTCCCCTGAATCCCAAAGGCTGATGCATGCAAGGCACACACGGGGCTTGGGGAGGAAACTTGAGTTTGAGGCACAAGAGGGAATAAAGCTGAGGAATGGATCTGGCGACCAGGCATCCCAGGCTTCCGAGGGCACTGTACAGGGAAGTCCTCTCAAAGAGCCTCGTGGGAACTGGAGCCGGCAGCGATGGATTTTCCTCTTGGGCTGTTCTGTAGAAAATGGGCCAGCACCCACGATCCTCAGGCTGCCGGAGTCAAGGGCAAGCCCCCCAGTACCTGGCGTCTCCCTAGGCTGTGATGTGGGGTAGACGCCGAAGGGCCTGTAGTCCTTGGGTGGGTCAGCTGGCCCCACCCCAGGGGCCCCCAGAGGGGAGGCATGCGTGTGTTTTCCGGGGACAGTGGGGGGTGAGCTGGCACATCTTACCTGCTGAGGCAGAAGGTCTTCAAGAGCATGAGCGTTCTAGGTGCGCTGCTTATATGGCTAGATGGCATGTTTTGGTACCTAAAACATGTTCCCTAAGAAAAATACAAACCACTCGTCGGACACCCCCTTTCGTCCCTCCCACAACTTCAAAAGAGGACCACAAAAAAAAAAAAAAAAAGAGAAACACCTGAGAGACCAAATAGAAGCCTCACACCCTCACCCACCCTGTGCCCCGGAGGAGACGAGCCCATCCTGCATCTTCTACCGGGAGCGCCCGCTCTCAGGAGCGAGCTGGCGTGGCCGCGCAGGGGAGCGTGTGTCTGTGTGGGATGTGCCTTCATGCGTCACTCTATTTATGTTGTTCGCAGCCCAACGGTAGCGGCCAGGGCAAAGTCCCGGGGTCATTTTTGCTACCGCCGCCGCCTCCAGTGGCCAGACCTGTGCCCCTTCCTATGCCTGATTCCAAATCCACCAGCACTGCCCCAGACGGCGCCGCCTTGACTCCTCCATCACCTTGTAAGTGGACGATGAAACCGAAACCACAACGCCCAGCATCCCTGGCCCATCTAAACAGTCTCCACAGCAAAAAGAAAAACCCCTGCCCCGCCCACCGCCAAAGCCCCCCAACCCAGAGCGCCATGGAGCCTCCCACCCGGACAAGAGCAGAGCTGAGCCCCCCAGTCATGGCCTCCTGGGCCTCAGTTGCACCAGCCAGCACCCCACGAGCCCCCCTGCCCACCCGCTGCTCCCAGCCGGGGGCCCCTGGCCCAGGCCCCTCCCGGGGGCGGGAGGGGGAGCACAGTGGGGCACGCAGGCCAGGGGTGCTGGCCAGGGTGGGCGGGGGGTGGGGAGGCACAGCCATGCCATCTTCATGCCTGATTGCTGTTTTTTTCATTTTTCGTTTTTTTGTTTTTTGATTTTTGTTGTTTCGTTGTGCCCCGCTACACCAAAAAAATTAAATGTAACCACAAGGCGACGCCACCACCATCCCCTTTTGGCCTTGCCCCCTCACCTCCATTCCAGGGCCCTTGGGCCTCTAACTGTACAGCAGGCTGGCTTTTTTTTTTTTCTTTTTTTTTTTTTCATTTGGTTTCTCGTTGTTCCTCTTTTTTTTTTTTCTTTTTTTTTTTTTTCCTCCTCCCATCCCCTTCCCTTCCCCAGGTTGAATGTTCCTCTCTCTCTCTCTCTCTCTCTCTCTCGGCTTACTTCATCTCTTTCTCTTTCTCTCTCTCTCTCTCTCTCTCTCTAACCAATGACAATTTTTGTTAAAGGGAAAAAAAAAATCTGAGTTGAGAGGCCCAAGGTAGACCCGACGTATGAAGGACAGGAGAGGCGGAGGGTGGGCGGCGTGCCGTCTGTGGGCGGGGGTGGGCAGCGCTTCGGGCGCTCTGGGGGCTGGCAGGCCACAGGCCAGGACTCCCTGGTCAGCGGGGGGGGGGCGGCCCATCTCACTTCTCTCCGTCTCGCGCTCTCTGTTGCCTTCTTTCTCATGGTTTGAGTTCTTTTCCCCTCTCCATCCTCTTCATGCCATCTTCTCATCTGCATCCGCCATAAGACACGAAGTCATGGTCATGGTCATTGGAGGTGGGCAGGGTGGGGGAGGAGGCGCCAGGCTGCAGGGTGGCTGGGGGGCACCCTGGACAGAATCTGGCGAGCACACCGCCCCTGGGGTGTATCTGGTAGAGGGTGTGTGGGGTGGGGATCCCCGGCATCCCGTGACAGTCTTGTCCCTTCTGGGGACACCCTCCCTCCTGGGGGTGCAGGACCCATTCCCTCCCATAGAGTTCCAGCCAGAAAACCTGAGAAGAGCTCAGGGGTGTCTGGCTGCCCATTTGCCCCCTCAGGCTCCAGAACAACAAGCCCTAGGGCTCTGCCGGGCGCTCCAGCGTCCTCCTCCTGTGCCGTGGCCCATCTCAGGCCCTGGGACCTGCAGGGCCACAGCAACCGGCTCATCCCTCGGAGGAGGATGCCTCCTGGGCCCGAGCCTTGCAACCTTTGGGCCCGAGCTGGCAGCCAGCTCCTCTCTCTGACCCTGTCCCTCCTGACTCAGCCCTCCGTTGGGCCCCTTCAAGGTCCCTGAGCCATCAGCCCCATCCTTGGGACTGCCCAGCGTGGTTACATGATGCAGCACCCAACCAGGTGCCCTGGTCGGAGAGGCGGCCTGGCTGAGCCGGCCTTCCCTGAGCAGGGGGGGGCCGGTCCGGCAGAGCTCCCAGCCTCCCACCCTCCCAGGCTCCCTCTTCCCAGACCCAAGAGAGTCCGTGGGAAAGCAAGGGTGCCTCGCTTCAACGAGGGCTATCCTCAGTCCTACTCAGTGCCTGGTTTGGGGACAGGGTCTATGGGACCTCAGCTAAAGCCTCCAGGGCCCCTCCCTCACCCGGACCAGGAGAGAGGACACCTGGCTGAGGTGGAGCGTTGGGGGTGGGGGACAGTGTGTGCTCCTGGTCAGTGAGAGGATGATGGGACCCCTCCGGCCTGTCCTTCCCACTGCCAGCCTAAGCCCTGGCAGCATGGTCTAATCCAGTCTCTCCCTCTCTCAGCAGCCCCGAAGGGCAGTGCCTGGGCAGGCCCCAAGGCCTCACGGGGTCTCTCCCTCTCTTCCCTGCTCCCCACAGCATTCGCAACGACAGGCGCCTCCTCTGCCAACCGGTTTGTCAGCATCGGACCCCGGGACGGCAACTTTTTGAACATCCCACAGCAGTCTCAGGTAGGAGGCCCTACCCACGATGTGGATGTGGGCGTAGGGGGAAGAGGCAGGGGCGGGTGCATCGTGGGTGTTAGGGAAGAGGTTGGTTCCTTGGAGCCAATCGGGGAGAAGGGGCTAGGGCAGGGCTGGAGGGCCCAGGCTTTTGCAAGCCCAGCTGAGCCTGCCTCCCCAGGCAGCCCCCAGGTCCCTTGGCTAATCAGCTAATTGGATAATTAGCTCTGACAGCCCCGGCCCTGGGGAAAGCGGCCAAAGACCTGAGGCTAGAGGCGCTCTGGGCCAGGCCTGGTGGTAGCCCGAGGCCCCGTCAGGAAGAGGACAGCTCTGCCTGTTGCTCTCCTCCCCTCCAGCTGGAAGCCCTGGCCCCCAGCCCTCCCTTCTTCCTTGGCTTTGGGTGGGCTGGGCAAGGGGTGGAGGAGGGACAGAGCCGTCCTGGTGGGCTGCATGCCCAGCGACTCTGGCACCCAGGGTAGGGCAGGGCCTGTTGCCACCCTGGAGGCCCCTCCCTCACGTCCCCATGAATCCTGTTAGAGGGGAGGCCGGGCTGTTGGAACCTCCGGTCCAGCTCCCGTCTGTCCCCAGTTCTCACAAGGAAAACTCCAGCCCTCCTGCTGGAATGCCCTGGATCCGGCTTTGTACAGGCATCTGTGCGCGTGCGCACACACACACACACATGCACGCACGCACGTGGGCCCCCTCCTCCCTGTGCCTGTCCCCAAGAGGCTGGGAATAGCCCACAGAGCCCCGGGCCCTGGGGTGCAGGGAGGACCCACCTCAGGAGTAGGGCGGAGGCAGCTTTTACAACTTCTCAGAAAAGAACATGCAAATAGCTTTTCTTTTGCACATTTCACAAAAACACTACCCTGAGAGCCCAAGGCCTTGGAGGCTTTCTTAGCCCCAGGAAATCCACCTGGGCCCAGAGCCCCAGGGCCACCTCTTTCAGCTCCTGCTCCTTTACTGCTCTGAGGCCCGAGTCCAGAGAAAGTTGGTGGATGGAAGTTTTGTGTGTGCGGTTTGAGGTTTTGTTTTTTTTTCCCTTTTCCTTTCCCTCCCTCCCTCAAAAAAAAAAAAAAAAAAAAAAAGCCAAAAAACTTTGTCAAACTTCAAACTTCGGAGCTCCCTAGTGGCAAGGAGGGGAGGGGAGGGGAACTTCAACCCCCTCCAGCTTCCCGCCCCCTTTCCCCAGAGTCACGTCTGACCCGTCTGGTTTCCAGGAGCAACCAGACATGATGTAACACCCAGATGAACTTGAACTTGGGGGTGTTGAGAAGAAAAACAATGGCTCCGAGCAGGGGCTGGAGCCAGCCCCCTCCGCTGCTCTGTGCCAGGGAGGCCGAGAGAGCCCTGCTGGCAGAGGGCGGGAGGGGGTGCCAGAGGAAGGGACAGCAGGCGGGCCTCCCCTCCTGGCTCTGGGCTGGCACCAGGCGGCAGGGCTCCATCGCTCTCGCCCTCCCTCCCTCCCTCCCTGCCTCCCTCTGCCCCAGCCGCCTATAGCTCCGTGTTGCTTGCTCACTCCTGGGGACCACTGCCCTGCCGGGAGTCCTCCCCCCGCCACCCTGTTTCTGCCTCCGTGTGCTTTCCCTTCTTCACCTTCTCTGCTCACTTTGCTTAGACTTTGGGGCCAAGGCAAGAGTTTGAGGCAAGTTTGGGAAACGGTTTTTCTCCCCCTTGTTTTGCAAAGGGGCCTGAGCCCCGGGCCCCAGCAGGCAGGTGTGTCTGGGGGTGACGGTGGGGGAGAGGTGGGGGGGACTGGAGCCGGACAAGGCCCGCACAGCACAGCCGAGAGCCCTTGGGCCTGGGGGCAGGCAGGCGGCTGCAGCGGGCGCAGGGGGTACAGTGGGGGGTGGTTTCCACAGTAACCAGTGACTTTAGCTGATCTCTGGAGCACCAGATGGAGAGAGAACAATAGAATGAGGGAAGAAAAGAGAATTTTAGCAATTTTGTCATTCCCTGGGCAGCGCTTTTTACTTAGTTTTAATCAATTTTGGACCTGGCTCAGGAAGTAGAAAGGGTGAGCAGAAAAAGCCACTTTGTGCTTGGCAGCAGATGCCCCCCCTTTCCTGGGACCTGTGGGGAGGCTCTGGGGAGCTATCCTGGAACCACCTTTGTCCCTAACTCCAGGCCTTGAACTGGATGGAGTCTTCCTCCTCTGTGGGGGGGGGGGGGACTCCCCAGTCTGAGCACTGGTGGTTGTCCCCTGCTGTGCAGCTCAGGGGACCCCAAGGGGACCAGCTTGGCTCCTTGGCTTGGTCCGACAAAGACAGAGGGACCAAGCAGGCTCTCCACAACCCCGTTGTCCCCTGCCTCCTTTCCCTCACAGGGAGGGTGAGGGCCAGGCTCACATAGCCGTGCTGTAAGGGTTCCCGTGTCGTCTCCCCTTGGGAAGGGGGTCTCAGAGAATACAGAGGCCTGAGACCGTAGTGATAGGGGCTCACCCAGGCCGCTCCCTCCTCCTCAGGCCAGGACTGGAAGCCCAGGGGCTGGCTGCTGACTCAGCCCCCGCCCCCCAACTCACCGGGTGCCTCGGGCCTGGGTTTTCCCCGTGCAGTGCCAAGTATCCCATGAGTCTCCCTTTAAAGGCCTTTAGTCAGTTGATGGGGTTGGACTTTGGGCAGTTCCTGCAGGAGCCCCGCCACAGGAGGGCAGGTCTCCTCTGGGTGTTGGCCAGCACGTGGCAGGACATTTGGCATCTCTGCCCACCCAGTAAACGCCAGCATTGTGGCAACCCCAAACCCCCATTCTTCCAAATGTTCCCCATCTGCACCATCCAGTGGGGCAGGCGCTGGCCATGTGTGGCTGTTGAAGTTCAAATGAAATAACTCACTAGAGAAAACTTCAGTCCCTCAGTGACACTAGCCACATTTCACTTGCTTAGAAGCCGCATGTGGCTCGTGGCTACCACATGGGATAGGGCAAACAGAGAATGTTTCCATTGTCGAAGAAGGTTCTAGGTGATCTAGCAGGCCCTTTGTACCACGAAAACTCCATGTGTGCTTCTCACGGAAGACCTCCCGTGGTCCCAGAGCCTGAGGGGCGGGTCCGGCCTGCAGGCATAATCTGTGTGGCTGAAACAAGTGGTTTTAAACACTGACAACTTTCACATGCAATGCTGTCTGGACTTTTGGCTTCTTTTGAAAAGCTGGCTGATCTGGCTGCCCCGGGCCCTCACTGCAGTGTGGCAGCCTTGGCGCTGGGCTCCCTGTGAGCATGCCACATGTGGCAGTTAGGATCGGAGCTGTCCCTCATGTTTGAGTCCTGGCTGGGCCATGCAGGCAGACTGTGTAGCCTCAGGCAGGTCAGCCACCCTCTCCCTGCCCGGCTTCTGTGTGGGGTTGGAGCAAGGGTAGAATGGGCTGCTACCCAGTGCTGGCTCGGTAGTTAGCTCTGCTTGGCTCCTGCAGATCTGAGTCTGTGACCCAGAGCCTGGGAGAGGCCCCGAAATACATTTTAGGGGACCCCTTTTTGGCCCTGCAGGTACTACCAGGCCTACCCAGGTCCTGTAGAGGAGAACACCTCACTTCCCACTCCTCCCCCGCTGCCCCCTGGCCACAAGGTGGGGCCAGAGCCTTTGATGGAGGGCATTGCCAGGCAGCCCAGCCTCCGGTCAGGTGTATTTTGTGATGAGGAGCCACCAAGACTCGTTTGTGGGAAAGTGACTCCCCCTGCTGGCACCCTGAGGGAAGCAACTCCCGCCCCAGGGAGCCTCGGGTCCTTCCCCCTGCGCCAGGTGCCCTGAGGGTAGAGGATCAAGCACAGTGGGCTACGGGGCCCCTCCCCCAGGCCGGGTACTGCTAGGGACTGAAGCCATGTGGTGTCCCCCCCCCCCTTCCCCAGTCTTTCAGCCTGTGGGACCTTGGCTGGGGAGTACAGATGGGAATTTCTGCTTTTAATCCAAAGATACAGAAAGAAAACTCAGCAAGAAGCTGAGCCACCCCCACCCCACTCCCAAAACCCCTCTGGGGACAAAAGCTCCAGCCTGGCATCCTCCCCACCCTGCAGGACCCATACAAAAACCTAAACAATTGGAAACATGGCCAGATCCCAGGTCTGTGCCTGTGCCAGCTCCAGCCACGGGGGTCCCACCCGCTGGGCACAGTGCCCACGGGAAGGCCAGCTGGACCCTAGCACTGGGGGGCAGGGTTTCTTGGGGGCGGCAGGATTCCCATAGGAGGTGCGGACAGAATAGGGATGTACCTCTTCGTGGGGTGTTGCTGTCCTTGGCTCTGCTGGAGGTGGGCCCTGGAGGGGCCTTGGGCTCTGGCCTGAAGTCAGCGGGCCAGGTGGGATGGAGAAGAGACTTGTCCCTGCTCTTCTCAGTACGGCCTCTTTTTGTCCCATTTCAGTCCTGGTTCCTCTGATAAGATCGACAAAAAGCAATGACAAAATGTAAAGAAGAGGTTCCTCAAACGGGGGGAGAAGAAATTTTGAGACGTGGAAAAATCCCCCGGCCCAGCCCCACCGAAAAGCAAAAATTAGACGTCGTCAGCCACTCAGCCCTTGTCTCCTCCAGCCCGGGGAGCTCTGCAGGCCCCCAGAAGCAGCCCAGTTCTCGGAGAGCCCTCGGAAGAGGTCTCGGTGGAGCTGTGCACCAGCAGCCAAGCAGAAAGAAACCTGCAAATGGACTCTGTCAAAGTAGAGGACAGCAAGAAAGAAAGGATGCAGCAGAACTGCCTTTCTCCCCACCCTACCCTGCCCCGTCCTTCCGGGGAAGGAACAAAATCAACCCAACAAAGCGACCAGCACAGTTCTAAAGGGGCCTGTCCTCCACCCTCACCCTTCCTAGGGGAACCCCATCCCCAACTTGGGCCGGAGCTTCACTAGGGAGCTTGGAGGACAAGCTTGTACAAATGATGGGGTGCAGATCCAGAGGGTTCTCCCTCCAGACTCCGCCCCCTCCCTGCCTGTCTCTCGCCCCCACCCCACCCCCCGTCCCCCAGCCCCCACTGCCTTGGCCTCTGGCTTCTTCCCCCAGCTGCTCTGGACTAGGTGAGGCCCCTGGCTTCCAGGTCTGCCTGCCCTACCTTCGGGCTTGAAGCCCCCCCCCCACACACACCCCCGCCCCGGGAAGGGGTGGGGGCAGGGAGCGGCCCCTGGAGCTAGTTTCTTGCTCCTGGAATGGAGGGTGTTCTGTCACCCCACCCTGAGCTTCGAGGGTAGTTTCAGGGCCCCAGACCCCTCTGTACAGTCCATAGGAAAGAGTCGGAATGCTACGACAGCCCGTCCCAGCCTGGGACAGGCCACCTCTTCCCTCTCTCTGCAGGCCGGTAAAATCACTCTCTGGCCGCGCCGCGAGTGAGGGGAGGTGGGCCCCAGGTAGTCCCCACACCCCAGCCCCGCATGCAGGTGCCCTCGCTCTGCCCCACCGGCCCCTGCCCCTGCCCCTCACACAGACAGCCCTGCTGTGGCCGGGCCGGAGAGTGGAGCAGAAAGGGGACCCCGGAGCCGAGCGAGGAGGATGAGGCAGCCGCCGCTGCCGCTGGCTAAGCGCCACCTGCGCTAGGTAGGCGTCCTGCTCGCCGACTTTCAGTCCTTTGGAGGGTGTTGGGTGTTGTCCTTTTTCAAAAGTGTTTTGGAGCTTTCTCTGTCCCCCCTCCCCCCACTTTCTCCACCACATGGGCCTCCTGGCCACTTCTCTCTGGATTTCAGCTGTAATGTCTTTACTCTTTATTTAGGGGTGGGGCATTCATTTGTTTGGGTCTTTTGCCGTTGCAATTGGGAACTCCTCCTCCATTTGAGCAACTTGGGAACAATTTGGTAACACACCACAGGAAGTAGCTCTCTCCCCCCCCTCCCCCTGCAGCCCCTTCCTCCCCTCCACGGGATGGTTGGGGGCCAGTCCAGAGGGTCTTCCGAAGCCCCCTGGGAGGGAGGGAAGCAAGAGCATGCCCAGCCCCCCTCCAGGGGTGACTTGGCCCCTCCGGCTTGTCTTTCTGTGCCTTACTCCCTCCTCCCTGCATCTCCCTTCCCAGGCCCCCTTCTCGAGTCCTTGTGCCTCTCTCTCTCTTTCTTAACTGTATGAAAACACAAAGCACAGGTCAGGATCCTCTGAAAGTCAGTCAACCCAACATTGCACCGTAGGGGTGGGGTGTGGGCTTTATTTATTGTGACTCTAGTTTGTGAGGCTGTGGCCCCAGCAGGGGGGGGAGGAAAGAGGGGAGGCAGCTGGCTGTGGAGGCGAGGGGGGCCCTGACCTGGGGCAGAAGGGGCCAGCGAGTGGTGCCTCCTCCTCAACTGGAAGCCACAAGGTGGCTGGCCCCGTGAGTGGCTTTTGTTGGAAGTTGAGCGAAGGCCCTCCCCCATCCGCGTGCAGCCCTCGGGGAATACCGGGACTGAGAAGCAGGGGACAGGGGATCCCGCGGGAGCCTGGGGGGGGGCGTGGGGAGTAGGGTGGGGGTGGGGTGGGGGGCCGGGTGGGCCGGGCGTGACGCGCGGTCAAAGTGCAATGATTTTTCAGTTTGGTTGGCTAAACAGGGTCAGAGCTGAGAGGGGAGCGGAAGGGACCCCCTGCCCGGCCGCACGCGCCCCTTCCCTCGAAGACAATCGGGGCCGCGGGCGCGCTGGGCCCGCGGGAGCCGGGGTCTGCGGGGCGCCCGCCCGGGCGAGGTCGGAAGCTGCAGGCCAGCTGGGCCGGGGCGGGAGAGCGCCCGGCGGCGCTGCCCGGGCGGGCAGGGGGGTGGGGGCCGCTCCTTTCCCAAGTGTCGTTGTGAGGGGCAGGCGAGGGGCGACGAGGGCGACAGGAGATGTGGGGACGTGTTAGAAGAGAAAAAAACCCACAAAAAATATATATGGGGGAAATGAACTTTTTTTTTTTCATTGAACCAAGTGCAATGCATCAGAGAGTTTTCCTATCTTTGTATGTTAAGAGATTGTTAAGAAAAATTCTATTTTTGTTGTAATGTCCTCGCGGCTCTGGGGACGCTAAAAGAACTGGGCCTGCCCCGCCCTGCGCGGGGATAACGAAAGCTGAGTGTTTTTTCCTTTTTTTATTTTTTTTTTTGTTCGTTTTCAGTTTTTTTTTTTTTTTTTTTTTTTTAAGTCGTTTTCCTGCGTTGACGAGGATGATCTGGGGTTTTTATTTGTTTCGTCGTTCGTTCTCGGTTTCGGTGGGAGGGCTGAAGGAAACGTTCACATTTTAGAGTTAAAAAAAAACAAACACCTCGACATTAAAAACAAAAAAAAAAACCACAAGATCAAAAAGGAAAAGGACGAGAGAAAATTATTTTTAAAGATAATTCAACATAAAAACCCTGGTGCTTCTTACATTATAAAGTACGTTTTAAAAAAAACCCACAAACTATTATACATAAGTTTATGAATCAATTAAATATCCTGCACTTGTTAGGAACACGCATATCCCTTCTTTGTTGAGTTTAACGGAACGGGACAGCGGCATACGCCCGGCGGCTGGGCTGCTCTGGCCGCGGGTCTCCCCGGGCGCCCCCTCCCCAGCGCCCCCTCCTCGCCTCATCCCCGTCCGGGCACGGGGGCGCGGCGGGGGGGTCCCCAGCCCCTCCCCCGCAGAGGTCAATGCCAACGAACAAACGTCCCCTCCCTCCCTCCCTCTCCGCCCCGAGCGCCCTTCTTTGAGCCAGACGCCAACTTGACCCTCACCAGCATTATCAGGAGCGCGCTCAGCAAGTTGGTAGTTACCCTCCCTTTTCCCCGGCGCCCCCGACTCAACATCACTCCTCCCACCCCTACCCCGACCCCCGTCACCCACCGGGGAGCAGGAGGAAGGCTCGAAGCTCCAGGACAGGACCAGCCAAGCTGACAGGTCGATTCGCCCAGGCCCGCGCCCGCACGCACGCACGCACACGGCCCCGCACACAGCCCCACCCCACCCTGCAACCAGCCCCGTCGACTGCCTTACACACCCGCCCCCGCGCTGGCCGGCCGACCTAGTGCCTTGTTCTCACCCCCGTGCTGGCGGAGCGGACGCCGCGCTCTGGGTCCCAGAGGGGCCGGGTGGCTCAGACGACCCACCATTTCCTCACCCCGACCGTGCTGAACGGACCCCCCCACACACACACACGAGAGAAAATAAAGGAGCAATAAAGTCACGAGAAATTTCGTCCCCCAATCGAGAGCCCGAGGGCCCCCCCAGCCCCGCCTCTGCTCCCCCCCCACCCTTGGGGCGCCCCCCTCCCCCCCAAGCCAGCCTGGGCCAGCCCCGCTTCGGCCCCTCCCGGGAGATCCGTGCGCCCGACCAGCACCAGCATCGCGGACCGCAAAGGCCGCCCGTCCCGTCAAACAAGTTTCTTCTTAGGCTAAGAAACGCAGTATATACGAGTATCTCTATATATAGTACTAATGGATTTGGTGTGCTTCCCCCTTAGCGTCCCCTGTCCCTCCGCTCCTCCTCCTTCAGCCTGGTCTCCCCCTCTCTCTGCCCTCCACCCCCGTCTCTGCACTGAGATACATAAGAAACAAGGGTAGTTTACTGTCTGTTTTGTTTTCTGGGTTTTCAGTGTCCTAGCGGAATGCAAGTAGGCAGCCAGCCCGTCTGTTCCCTCTCCGCCCCGCCCCGCCCCGCCCCGCCCCCGTCACTGCGCTTCTGTTATACCATCTTTGCCTGACTCTCTCCGGCTTCTCCATTGAATGGCTAATGTGTATGTGAAATAAAGAAATAAAGAAAAACAAAAGTCAGAGCGCCCGAGCCTTCGCTAACGCCATCGTACGGGGACCAGTTTGGGATTGGTGGGGTGGGTCGCGGCGTCGATTCTGCGCCTCCGCCGACGCGGTCCAGGGGCGTGTATCCACGAGTCTCCAGGAGGGGGCGCCGGTGAGAAGGGCAAAGACTCCCTGGTCCCTCCCCACCTCTCTCGGTGACCCCAGCCCGGAAGAAAGAGGCACCACTTTAGTCCGATGACCTGTCTGCCATGTTGGTTCCCGGACCTCGTCCCCAGGAGGGAGACGCGGGAAAAGGCCATTTCCAGCGGGCGGTGGGTGATGGAGGGAAAAAAAAAAAAAAGGTCTGCGGGGCCCCTGGGGGCGACAGTCGCCCTTCCAGACGGGGGGGGCCCTTTTTCCCCGTTGCGGACGTCCTCACTGGTCCCTCTTCGGGGGGAGTTCGCTCCAGGGCAGGCGCAGGGCATCGACCGCCCTGGGCAGAGTTCCCGGTGCCCCTCGGCTCAGAGGCAACGCTGCGGAGGTCACCGCACCTCAGGGCTCACGGCCGCTCGTTCCGTCTTGATGGGCCGGGCCGCCCCATCGGGGCTGCCGTCGGGGCCGGCCGAGGGCGCGGGCTGCGAGCGCACTACTGCCTCGGCCCTGCGACAAGGCCCGCGGCGGGCGGCGTCGTGGGGGCCCCGGTGCGCGGGCCGTTTGCGGGGCCCGGACGGGGCGGGGCCTGCGGCCAGAGCGGCTGCCTGATCGCGCAGCAGCCGCACCAGGAAGCCAATGTATTTCATGGCCAGGCGGAGCACCTCGTTCTTGCTCAGCTTCCGGTCGGGCGGGTGCGTTGGCAGCAACTTCCTGAGCTCTGCGAAGGCGCCATTCACGTTCTGCTGCCGCCAGCGCTCCCGGCTGTTGGTGAACACACGCCGGGCCACCTTCTGGGGCTGGTGCCCTGCGAACAGGAGGGCTTGGGTTGGCAGCCGAGACCCAGGGGACGCCCCCTCCTGCCCTCGCTTCAGGCACCCAGAACCCTCGTGGGGACTTCCACACAGGCGGTGGGCTGGGGCTCTCTACACCCGAGGGATCCACAAGTAGGATCCATGTGTAGCTCCCCAGCTAATGAGGCACCCAGCCACCCCCCCCCCCCCCCCCACCCCCCAGCGTAGACAAGGACCATCACAGGCCCCGGCTGCAGACAACTGAGGCCTTCTGTATCTCTGTCCACACCTTTGTGTCAATGCTTGAGATTCCTAGGGGCATGTTTCTTGTGGCTGTCAGTCTGGGGAGTTGTCCCTGTGGTCTGCATTCTGGAGTGTGCCCCTGCATGTGGCTGGAGGTGCATATGGGTTGAGAGGTTCCCTAGGTGTGAACTCCTGGTATGTCTAAATGGCTGTGGTTGTGTCTGATCGTTGCCAGGTGGTTGTGGTCATGTGGCTGTGGTTCTGTGGCTGACTCTCGTGTGGCCATGGTCTTAAGTGGCTGTGGTTGTGTGGCTGTCTCTTGTGTGGTTCTTGTCCTGTGGCTGTTTCCTGCGTGGCTGTGCATTCTATTGGGGCTGTCATTTTGTGGCCCCCATGCCACGGTGCATTTTGCCATGACTCTTTGTGGCTTGTTGGGTGGCTGTGGTTGTGTGGGCCAGGCCATGGGTCTGTGGTTTTGCATGTGGGTGTAACCTGAGTACTGAGTCCCCGTGTGGACTTTCCTGTGTATGTCTGTGTGCACCTGCGACCCCTTTCCCTGTGGCAGACAGGAGCCCCGGCAGATGGCTATCGACGCACACAAACCCATACTCACCCTCAGCCAGCTCCAGCTCACAGTGGCTTGGTCTCCGCTTCAGCCGGCTGCTAGGGAAGATGCCAAAAGGTCCTGCCGGCCCAATGTAGAGGCTGTAAGGGGTTGTGGGTCACTAATGCCTTGTGGGCAAGGACCCTGGCCCTGGCTTCCCCCCAGGCCCCAGCCCCCCACTGACCTGTTAAGGAAGGGGTGAGGGTGATAATGCAGGGCCAGGGGTGGTGGGACAGTTCCCAGGGTAGAGAGTGGTAGCAGCGGGGGCCGCAGGGCGCTCAGCTCCGTGGTGGCCATGGTTGCCCCTGGGGGCCTGGTGTGGCCCAGGCTGATCACTGGCACGCCAGGAGGCAGCCTAGGGGGTGAGGAGCCTTGGTGGCCCATCTCCTTCACCTTCGGGGGCCCAGGCGAGGCAGGCTTGGGGGGCAGAGCGGGTGCTGGGCTGGGGGCACACACCATTTCGGCCTTCTCAGTCATGGTGGGGCCCACCTCTGCCTGGGCCTGGGGTGGGCACATGGACCCCAAGGGGGTGCTCACCTGTGGGAGGGAAGGAAGCCAGTGGGGAGGGAGGAATCAGATGCCACGCACATCCCTTAGCCCAACAGAGCCCTCAAAGGAGAGGGAAAGGGCAGGGGGATGGTGATTTGGTACGTGAAGGCAGTGGGCTCAGAAACCACCAAGACATGAGAGGGGGATCTGACGCAAGGGCAGGCGGTAGCCAACGAATCTCTGGGCAGCCCTGAGCTCGGCAGGGCCATGTCTGAGCTCTTTGTGACCCACGAGGGCCTCAGTTGCCCAGCTTCTGAGCAAATGTCAGTTATTCCAGAATCCTCACCTGGAGCCTGGAGAGAGGGGTGAGGAAGGAACCCATGATGGATCCTCTGGTCCCCAGGATGACCCTGTAACCCTCAGATCTGATCCGGAGACCCCTCATTGATCCCATGTGACCTTAGAATCCCTCTACAATTGACTCTGACCCCTCACTGACTTCCAACGCCCCCCCCAGCTGACCATGTGGCCCTCAGCTATGACCCTGCGGGCTCTTCTCACTGCCTCCATGTCACACCCTGAAAGTCCCCCTTAACTAACCCTGTAAACCCCACTGCTGACACTGTGATCAAAGATGCTGACCCAGGATCCCCAAACCCTGGCCCCACTGCCCAGTACATACGGTCATGTCCCAGGCCTGCTCTGGCCCTCCGTGGTGTCCCCCACGCCCCATTTCCCATCCCCATCAGCATCCACTCCTTTGCAACCCAGCTTAGACGGTTTGGCCCCGTGGTTTGGAGTGTCCGGCAACTTCTGGGACTCCTGGCCCCTCTGCCCACTCTTCCCTACTTAGGCCCTGGGGAAGCTGGCCAGGACTCCCACTTAGTGGGTCCCCCCTGATGAATGAATGAATGAATGAATGAACGAATGAATGAATGAATCCAGGCACTCCCAGGATCCCCCACCTTCAGGCGGACTCCCTTCTTACCCCGGCGCTGGTCCTGCTGTTTGGTGAGTGCCCTAGCTCTGTCCTTCAGGGCCAGGATGCGGTTGGGTTTCAGGCCAGGCTCCGTGGCCCCAATCCGGTCCGGCCTCTGCGTTCAGGGCCGCTGGGAGCTTGCCGCCCCCTCCCGGCAGCGGCGTCGGGGCCGAGCCTCTTCCCGGGCTCCCGAAGGCCGCCGCGACGGCAGCGTGGATCCCTCGAGGGAAAGTGAGCTGCTCCTGGCCGGCCCGCCCTCTCCCCGCCCCCGGCGGCCCAGTTTCCTCCCTCTCACCCCCGGCCGCGCCGGAGGATGCTGGACCGGCACAGATAAGAGCCTGGCCGACTGGCCGCGCCTGATAAGGAGCCGGGCTGACCCCGGAGGAAACCGGCGGGCGGGGATCTCCGAGCGCGGGCCTCACAGCCCCGCCCCCGGCCGGCGACGGACGGAGCCGTCACCCCTCGGGCCTCACCTTCCGTCCCCTCAGGCCCTGGAGTGGCCCCGGGGCCTCTGAGGACCCCGACCCAGTGCACAGCTGGGAGTGAGGTACCCGGATGCCCGCAGAGGGGAAACCGAGGCAGGGAAGGAGCGGCCGCCAGTATCGCTTGGGTTTCGCCTCGGGCTTTGAACAGCCCCTGCCCAAGTGTCCGGGCTGATGGGGGTGGAGGAGAGCCCTTTTCCGGCAGTGTCGGGGCCTCGTGACCCAGGGCCCCCTCCTGCTCCTCCTCTCCTCACTCTGCTTGGTTCCTCTTTTTACACCACCCCCACCCCCGACGGGGGCACTGGAGGGAGGGCAGCTTTTACAGTCGGCCCTTGGGGGTCCAGCCCGGGGCCGGTGTCCTGGGCCCCCAGGCCTGCTGTCCACGCCCCCTTTTCAGGCCCAGGAGGATGAGAGGAAGTGCCACAGCTGGGAGGGACTTCCTCGGGTGCCAGAGCTGGCGAACTTCACAATAGGTGTCCCCGGCGCGTCCCCACAGGATGCAGATCCTCTAGGCCACAGGAGCACACAGCCCCAGCTTGGTGGTCTCTGGCCCTCATCCCACATCGCAGGCCACTTTGGGGGTGGAGGGGACAGTGGCGATAAAGAAGTGTTGGGCAAGTATCTGGGCCCCCCCGTGGAGCTCAACACCAGCCTGGAGCCTCACCAAAGGGAGGGGCCCCCCCGGAAGAGCTTGGTAGCAGGGACAAGACTATCCCTTTCTCCAGGGCCCTCCCACCTGGGCCGGTCAGGCTTTGCCTCGGGTGCCTCTATCTGGGGAACAGCTGGAGCCACCACCCTCCCAGGAATCTGGCGGAGTCTGGGAGCCAGTCCGCCAGCGACCGTCTCACGGATCCAGGGAAGCAAGGAGTTCATTCATCTCTAAGCCCAGGAGTTACCTGATGCCCCTACAAGCGAGGTTCTAGGCTTAGGATCATTACGGCTGGGGATGAAGCAGAGAAGGGTGTTTGGGAGGGCCCCACAGCTACCATGTGGGGGTGGGGACTGTGCCCTAAGCCTCTCCGTTAACGTTGCTAACCCTCTGTCCCGGAGGGGAGGGGAAGCAGCGGGCCTGCCAGCCTGTGTGCTAGCCCTGAGGGGCCGCAGAGCAGGAAGCACCTGGTCTGGAGCGGATGCACAAGGCGCCTGGTTCCGGTCCGGCTTCCGCCGCCGCGGCCCCGTGGGGAGCTCAACCAGAGAAACCAGGCGGCGACGCGAGGCAGGGTAGGGGGGGGGGGGGGGGGACTGGCAACCCGGCCTGTGTGCTGGCCGACGTGGGGGGGGGGGGGGGGGCTGTAAAGGCCCCACGGGCACGAGCACACGGCTGCCGCCCCGTGGCCACCTCGGAAACTGCGGGCACCAGCAACGGGCGGGGGGGTGGCGAGCGCCTCGTGCTGCAGGTGGTCCGCTCCCACTCCCCCACACAGACACAACACCCCAGAGAGAAACACAGACAGCACTTCAAGAGTCAGGCAGGGACGAACAAACCCCGGAGTGACAGAGCTCCCCCAGGGAGTTAAAAGAGATGGACAGAGGAAGAAACTCCAGACAGGGCCCCCCAAGGCAGATGGACAGACAGACCACAGGCAGCCTTCTCATTTGGACAAATGACAGTCGAAGGGATGACATCTCTTTATTGGCTCAGTCTACTCCTGGACCAGCGGCCATGCCAGGCCCAGGCGGGTTCTGGTAAGGAGTCTCTGGACGGTCCTCGGGTGCTGGGGAGCTGTGGGCGTAGCAGCACTGGTCCCCGCGTTGACAGGTGCCCTGGTGGGAGGATGGTGGGTGTGAACCCCAGCCCAGAGCTCAGCAGCCTCTGCTGGGTCCTTTTCCTGGACGGGGAGCTCACTCCCACACCTTGCCTACCCCAGGTCTCCCAGCCTGGCCTGCCCCTGGGTCCCGCGGAGGGAGGTGGGGGTGCCTCACCTCCTTGAATCTTTTACAGGGAAATGTCTTGAGCCGGGCAGCCCGTTGGACTGGGTCTTCAGCGGGCTCCTTTCTCTTGTTCTGGTGCAGCCTGCGTCTCTCCATAGCCTCGCCTGCTGCCTTGCCCCTGTGCAGGGAGAGGAGTAGCTGGGACCCCACGTGGCCTTTGTGCCCCCCCTACCCTGGACACGCTCCACCGCCACCCTGCTCCCCTCACCCTGGCCGGGCGCGGGGCCGCGGGCCCCAGTTGGCCTCAGGATTGGCCTGGAAGCGCTTGAGTCCTCGCTGGCGGGAGCTGGGGTTGGCATCGTCCCGGATGGTGAAGTTGGCCTGCAGCCTGGGGAAGCAGGAGTAGGGGCTGAGGGACAGATGCCCTCGGTGTGCACAGACCGCCTGCCAACCTCAGTGCGGCTCCACGCGCTTCGGGAAGACTCCGGACTCTCATCCATTTACTAAACATTTATCAAGTGCCTACTGTGTGCCTAAAACCTGCCACCGGTAAAGCCAAGGTCCTAGTGCATGGGACAGTGGGACAAGTCAGAAATCAGCAAAATCACATTGTGTCTGGGCACAGGTGAGAGTTTTGAGAAAAACGGAGCAGGAGAAAGGGAACGGGGAGATGGGGCAAGGGGTGCAGGGCAGGACCGAGGGGTCAGAGACACCTAAAGGAGGTGAGGGAAGAGCCATCGGGGGACCTGGGGACAGGCGCTCCAGGCAGAGAGACCAGCCCTCATAAAGGCGGTAAGGGGGGGCTGCGCCTGGGGAGTTGGGAGTGAGGAGGCCCTCCGGAGGGGGTGAGGTGAGGAGAGGTGTGCAAGGGATGACAGGGAGATCACAGGCAGATGGTGCGGAGCCTGCAGGTACAACCTGGGATTCTAGCGAGTGAGGTGGGAGTCACAGAGGGATCTGACTCAGGTGCTCACAGGTGTTACCCTGGCTGCCGGCGGTGGGGTGGGGGGGGGGTGGCCGGTGAAGGACGGGGAGGGCAAGTGGGAAGATGGTGGATCTCACTTGAACGAGGACGGGTCTGTGTCGGGGGGTATCCGTGTTGCCTGCACGCACGTGAGCTTCCCCGGCCTGTGGGCAGCCCCGTCGCTGGCCGTACCTGGGCTCCACACTGAGAATACGGAAGGCCGGGCTGGTCTCCGACAGGCGCTCCCGCTTCACCGGACACTCCTTTTCCTGGGAGGCAAAGCTCAATGGTCAGGGGCTGCTGGGCCCGACCGTGTCCTGTGCTCTCACCCCCGGCCGGCCAGGCCAGTGCTCACCCAGCAGCGCATGATGTCCCAGAGGGCCGAAGAGGGGGCATCCGTCTTCACGGCATTCTTACAGGCATGGGAGAGCGAGACCCGGAAGCCAGCATGGAGGAGGGCCGACCTGGGGACCGAGGGGGGCCATGGTCGGCAGGGGGATGGGGTGGGGGGCTGGACCCCAAAGCCATTGCTGCCCTGTGTGGGTGTGAGCCACCCCGACTGGATGGGTGCAAGCCGAATGGCTTGCGGTGTCCCCCCCGCCTGTGTAATGCCAGCGGTGGGAAGACTAAGACCGGCCCAACCCCCCCTCCCGCCCCCGCCGGGGCTCATGGCCTCCGCGCCATGTTCTCAGCACCTGCACACGGGCACATCACATCTCCATTTCACAGGAGACTCTGGCCTGAGAGGGGCTGCACTTGCCCAAGGGCACCCAGAGGTCAGGCACAGGCCCCACCCCTGCGGGACCCTCACCGCAGCTGCAGGAGACTGGGCGTGCTGCAGCGGATGGTGCTGCTCAGCTGGTCCAGCGTGTAGTAGAGAGGCACGTCTGGGAGCTCCTGCGACGGGGACAGAGTGGATGTGGGGTGGATGGAGGAAGGATGGCTGGGCGCAGGCGGGGGGACCCCCACCCCCATCATGGCCCGGCCCCCACCTCAGTGATGACGCTCAAGACCCCTCGGATCCGCTCAGAGGTGTGGAAGCGGCCAGGGTTGGTGCTCACAGCCTCTAGGACACGGCCCACGAAGTCCAGGTCATGGAGGGGCTCTGCCCACAGGGGACCGCCAAGCTACAGACACACAGCGGCCAGACGGGAGGGGTCAAGACAGCCACAACCCCAGTGTCCCCCTTGTTTCCCCTGCCCTGTCTCACCTGGTGTCGCTGCCCGCAGTGTTCACACTCGGGGGCAACGGGAGGACCGCAGGCTGCAGAGAACTTGACCCTGCAGGGAGAGGGGTGGTTGGGGGGCAGTGACCCTGGGACACCCCCTCTTCACCTTCCTCCCCGGCTCCCCCTTGCTCACCGGCCACCAGAGGCTCCTGACGCTTTGCCGAGGCGCTGAAGGTGGAAGGTCCCACAGCCCACACACTGGAATACCAGCGCCTGCTTGCTGTGGGGGAGCAGGGGTGGCCCTAAGTTCCCAGCATGATCACCACACACCAACCCCTCCCTCAGGCTAACTTCACCCCCATCAAGACCCCCACTTCCCCGGGGTGGGATCATCCCCCCGCACACACACACCAAAAGGCCCTGTTGCCTCCTTCCATGCATCACCCTTCCTTGCCCCAGACTAACCTGGCTGAGGCTTTGACCTTGGCCTGGCCGGTGAAGACGCGAACAAAAACGCGCACATAGAAGTCAGCGCTGACACTGAGCAGGGGCACCACAAAGCGCTGGTAGCAGTTGGCTCGGAGGTCCAAGCTGTGCAGGACGATCCTCAGGGCCTGGGGGTGGGAACCGGGCATCGGCCATCAGCCAGGCCTCCACTGTGGCCTCCCCCCTACCCCGGAGGCTCACAGCTCCCTGGGCTCCAAGCCCAGCCCCACGCGTCCTGGCTGTGTGACCCTTGCCAAGTGAATGCCTCAGTTCCCTCATCTATGAAATCAGGACAGTCTGTGTCTCTCTACGGCCCTGCTGGGGATACCGCACAATTAAGGAGTGCACGGGCCCCCAAAACTGAACGTATTCGGATTAGCATTGACAGTGTGCCCCGTGCTATGCTCCAAAGACCTGTGTTCCGGCTTCCCAAACTGACCTGATGACAGGGCCCTTATGGAACAAAGACGAGACATCCTCCTTTCCAGCCCACGGACGCAGCCAGCCCCTGCCTTCTCGAATCCCCATGGCAACCCATCACCATCATGCTCATTGCACAGATGCAAAAACCAAGGCCCGGAGAGATGAGAGCAATTATCCAAAGATGCCAGCAAAGCTAGGATGTGAGCCCAAAGCCAAACCCAGACCTGAAAACTGCCTTTAAAAACAATTTTGAAAAATTGTTAAAACAGACGATACCAGGGAAAATGACATAAGCACCGGCTCCTACCCTGGACAAAACCACTGCCCCCCAGACGACCGGAATTGGCAGCCCAGGCTCTTAGGACTGTGCTGGTTATAGACATGCTTGTCCTCCACATCTTGGGACGGAGCTGGCCCTGGCTGCCTGGAGGAAGCTAAGCGGGTGTGCGGGGTGGGGGAGGCCAGGGAGCGCCCTCACCATCTCGTGGCAGGCGCGGCTCTTGAGGGCCATGGCCCCGTACTTGCTGTAGCACGTCTCTCCGCTGTTGCCCGCCAGCACTGCCATGTCCGTGCACGTCACGCACAGCAACCCTGCGAGGGCCCGAGCGGTGAGGACCCTCCCAACACCGACCGCGAGCCCGGCTCTCCACCCCCGTGGCAGCGCGGCCTCACCTCCTTCGCTCACGGCCTGCACAGCTGCGTCCAAGAAGGGGGCAGGGCTACCGTATGGGTCCAGGTCGATGATGTCAAACCGCTCCGATGCCTTCTGGTGCTGGTACATCAGCATTCTGGGAGCAAGAAGGCCAGGTCCTCAGCCCCCTGCCCCAGGGACCTGCTCTGTCCCCTCTGCTTGTTCTCTCATTCCGTGTGACCATTCTGGCCTGGATTTGGGGGCCAGCTGCCTAGGTTCAGATCTTGGCTTGGCCATTTGCTAACTGCATGACTTTTCCTTCTTGGACCTCGGGGTCCTCATGTCTAACAATGGCAATAGGAACAGCCCGCGGAGACGTAGCATACATATGCCTAACGGTTTCAAGCAGTTTACAGCTCTATTAACTCATTTAATCAAATAATCTTCCAGACAAATCTATGGATTGGGAATGATGATTGTTCCCTCTGTAGGTGAGGAAACGTAAACGCTCCCTTCCCGGTGTAGCCTGCCCTGACCGTGTTCTTTAAAATTGCAACCCACCCACCACCACCTTCCTCCAGCCCCCACCACACCCCCCCCCCACCCCAGCACATTTCACCTCTACCTTACTATATAGTTTACTCATTTGTCTCATTATTTGTTATGGTCTTTGTTTCCTATCAAAGAGAGAGAGAGAGAGAGAGAGTTATTTAGCTGAGAGAGAGGGAAAGAAAGAGAGAGAGAGAGAGAGAGAGCGCGCACAAGCAGGGCAGAGGGAAACGGAAAAGCAGATTCCCTGCTAAGCAGGGATCCTGAGGCAGGGCTGATCCCAAAACCCTGGGATCATGACCTGAGCTGAAGGCAGCCACTTAACTGACTTGAGCCACCCAGGCGCCCCTCCTATTGGCTTTTAATACAATCAGAAAAGCAAATACTTTCCATAGCAAAGACTTTTTGTTTTCTGTAAAGGGTCCGACAGTAAATATTTCAGGCTTTGTGGGCCACAAATGGTACCCGTTTTAACCCTTTACAAATGCAAAATCATTCTTAGCTGGTGGGCCCTAAAAAACCAGGCACCTGCAGGCTGTCTGCAGGGCCCCTGCATTAGAATGTGAATGCCCCAAGGTCAGGGATTTTGTCTGTTTTGTTTACTGATGCCTGGCACATTGTGGACACTAGATATGCGCTGGTTCATTTGAATGAATAAAAGTACCAGAGATCGAGAAGTTAAGTCTAAAACGGAAACCACCGGTGGTACACATTTCTGGTTATACAAGCATCATCTCTCAATCAACACAGTATTAGTATTACAACTCCCGTGATACTAATATCCTCATTTTACAGACAAGGAAACTGGGGCTTAGAGAGACTAAGGCACTCTCCCAAGGTCACAGAGAAAGACTATGACAGACTTGGGATTTGAGGCCAGGCAGCCTTGCTCTAGCATGCACCTTCCAGCCATCAGGCTCTGCTGCCCCAAACCTACCGGGCGTCTGCCTGCCTGGGATGTACCAGGTGGGCCACACCGTTGAGCTGCACGTTGCGGCACATGAGATCCACGGCTCGGGCAGAGGCATCGTTGGCAACCACAGAATGCAGCCCAGGCACCTCTTGGGCAAAGCGAATGGAACGGAGGCCCGAGGCTGCCAGACCCTCCAGCACTCGAAGGCCTTCCTGTGGGAGTAATCAGGGAGCCCCACTCACCTGGATCCCTCCATCCTCTGCTGGGCCCCAAGGAGCCCCCACCACCCACTTCCTATAGCTCTCCCGCCTCAGGAGCCTTCCTTCCTCCATTACTGGGGGACTCCAGGGCTGCACCTCCTATGTTCAGGCCCCACCTCGCAGATCTCCCCCACGGCAGCTGTTCGAGGTTGGTCTCCTGGGGCCAGGTTTGCACCCTCTTTCAGTTCAGCCTTTTCCTCCTCTTGCTCTGATAAGTCCACGACCACCTTTTGCACATCCTTCTCACCTGGCACCTTGACTGGAGCCACCCAGAAGCACAAGTCAGGGGGTATTAAAGCGCCCTCTGAGAGACCTCCCCCTATTTCTCAGGATACAGAAGATTCAGGGAAGAAAATCTTCCTCGAAGCCCCTGGGGAAAGCCTGAAGTTAGAAGTAAGCCCAGGGCCTGCTGTGTGGCTGGAGCCTTTCAAGACATTAAGGGAAAGGGGGCGGGGCAGGGAGAGAGCTCGGAGTGACCCCCGCCCACCAGGAGACTGGACCTCGACTCACTCTGGATTCCTTTGGCCGCAAGCTGAACGCGAGCAAACTCGGTGATCACCGCACATCTGCGGGAGACGGAGGGTTAGCTCACAGCCCCCTCATCCCTGCAGTTCCACCGCCCTCTGCTAAGCTGACCCCAGCCCCCTGCTCACGTCAGGTCCCGGTTGAACTCCTGCACTGGGTTGTAGAAGACTTCGTTGGAGCTGGGGAAGGCTATCTTGGCGGCCCCCTCCGTGACCGTCGTCTCCTGAGCCTCGGACGCGGGCTCTTCTTCGCGGGGCGCGGTGCCGTTCTCCATTTCGGCGGGATTCGGCAGCCCTTGCGGCTGCCCCTCCATACACCTGGCTCTATAGGGATTGCAGGCGGAGCGGAGAGTCAGCCTCAGCCACAGAACGATTCTCGCACGGGACATCCGCCGTAGCCTCTGCCCGCCAAGCCTGGTTCGGGGGGCGGGGGAGGGCATAGGAAGAGCATCAGAGAGCTGTGTCCCCGGGCCAGGTGGCCTATACATCGGTAAAGATTAAGAAGACCCTGCGGCCTCAGTAAGGTTGACACCACACCCCGTCTTCGGAAAGACCGGCCCCTGAGAAGCCAGAAGCCCTCGAGCGGGCCGGACCCTGGCCTGTATCCTTCCCCGCGTCGCCCACGCCTTTCTCACCCTCGCTCGAGGCGCCGAGGACCGAATTAGTCTGGGTGCACGTTTCCCGGATTAGACCTGGGCGTCGCCATGTTGGCACAGTGGGGGGGCAGGTCACATGATAAATTTTAGCCAATCAGTGATGCTACCTACAGTGGGTGGCCGGGATCAAAATGCACGGCGGAAAGCTCGGAAAGTAGTGTGGATAACCTTAATCACGTCGGCTCCCCCGGGAGGGGACGCGTCACTCGCCCCATTTCACGGATGAGGAAGGTGAGGCTCAGAAAGGGGGCGGTAAGCGGAGAAATTCAACACCTACTGATCGGCTTCTGTGTATTGAGTGCTTTAAGCACACTATTTCAGGCCACTCTGCAGGAACAATTAAGGCTCTGAAGTCAGATTTACTGAGTTTGAATTACAGTCCTACCACATGGTCTTGGCAAGTTACTTAAACTCTCTGGGCTTCACTTTCCTTATCTGCTAAATAAGAATGCTAGCTTCCAATATAGAGCAAAGACTAAACTACAGAATGCCTGGAAATTGTGCAAAGCAGTCCCTCTTCAAGTAATAAGCTCTCGATAGGTTCTAACTGGTGTAGGACCGGAGGAGAGCGTAGTGGGCTGCGCTGCCTGTGTTCCAGTCCCAGCTCGCCTCACAACTTGTTCTTACCCTCTCTATGCTTAAGTTTGCTCATTTGCAAAATGGACAGAACTTTTTAACGTTCGTTATTGGGTTGTGGTGAGTTTTAAACGAGTTAGTGCAGGTTAAATGCCTAGAACGGAATCTGGCTTGGCATAGACATAAAATCGTTAACTTTTATTGTCGATTCTTGAGCCTGGGTTTGATTCCTGCCACCTGCCACCACTTAACTTGCTGGTGATCTTGAGCAGGTTTTTTCAGCTCTGTGTGCCTCCCTTTCTATAAAGTGTGTCTAAGTGTGTTATGATTTCGACTTAAAAATGTTACTGTGAAGTTTAAACGAGATAATTCCCATAAAGAGCCTAAAACCGTGCCTGGCACAATAGAATTCATTGTTGTTTTCGTTTTACAGGAAACGAATGTTCCGAAACGCAGAGAGACTTGTCCAAGGTCGAGAAAGTAGGAAGTGTCAGGGTCGGGAGTCGAACTCTCCAGCAGAGCCAAGGTACTGGCGGGGACCCAGAGGGGCGACGGCAGAAAACGGGAGATGAAAGCAGAAAACGGAGATGGGAGGAAGGGACGTTCTCGGCGCTCAGCTGGCCTCGCCTCGGGGGCGGGGCCTGGGGCGGTGCGGGGGCGGGGCAGCGGCCGCTCCTCCCCGGCCGGGTTGCGGCGGCGGCGCGGCTTGCGCTCGCTCGGCGCTCGGCTGGGGCGGCCTGGCCCACAATGAATGGCCGCCGCGGCTGCCGCTGCTGCTGAGGCGGAGGCCGCGGAGGCCGCGGAGGCGGAGGCCGAGGCCCCGGCGCAGGGGGGCGCGCCCCGGGCCCAGGCCCGGCCCCAGCCGCCGCTGCGGAGCCCGCCGGGAGCCCCCGGAGCGCGGCCACGGCGCAGGTGAGGCGGCCCGCCCCAGGCCCGGTTCCGGCCTCGTTTCGCCGGGGCGGCCCGAGGGCATCCGAGGGCCGGTTGAGGGCTGAGCAGGGAGGGCCGTGGGCGGGGGGGTGGGCGGCTCCTCCGACAGAAAAGGAGCCGGGTCCGCAACCTGCACCGTGCCGGGACCGGCGAGTGCGCAGAGGCCCGGCCCTCACTAGCGGCCTTGAGCGTCCAGTCCCGGGCCGGGCCGTGGGGTTTGGGGGTGGTGGGATCGGGCCCAGACCTCCCTCCCACCTCGCTCTCGGCGATAGGGAGGCTCAAGGCTGGGCCGGGGCAGGTGCCGGAGGCCCGGGAAGTTGGAGGGCCGGAGAAGGAAAAGTGAGGAGGCGCCCGGGGAGGCCGGGGGGAGGGGGAGGAGGAGTCGGGCTTTGGGTCGGCCGAGTGGGGGAGGAGGGGAGAGCGGCGCGGCCGGAGGGAAAGGGCCCGGAGGGGGGGCGGGGAGGGGCCGACTCGCAGGTAGTGTCCGGACGCCGGAGGAGGTGGGTGGGTCAGGTTACAAGCCTGGGGGCGGCTGAGGAGAAGCCCAGGAAGTGGGGCAGGGTGGGTGTGGGCGGAGTTAGTTCGGGTGGGGGCTGATAGGAGATCCCAGAGATGTTTGCAGGGGTCGTATGAGGTTAAGTTTTGGAGAGATGTTGGGCGGGGGGAAGGCCAGATACGGGGGCCATCAGGTAGGTTGAGGAACTACTGTAGGAGCTTTGGGAGAGGGGGAAAGCAGCGCCTTTGCGCTAGGCTAGTGGCCGCGAAACGGGGCGTCCCGAGAAACTAGTGTGATCAAAAGGCACATGCCACCTCTTCCCCCACCAGGTGTTAGCCCTGGGCCAGATCTGGGGTCTTTCCTCTTTTCCTCATCCCAGTCAGGCTCTGGGTCTCCGACCTACCTTTTGGACGAGCCTCTGCTGGCTTTTCCAAGGTGCTGGCCCACCCGGTGGGTGTTTGTGTAGGCAGCTTGAGAAAGTCTAGAACACCTAGTTCGGGCATATGTATTTGTAGAGAGGCAGCCCAACGGCCCTTACCTGAGTATCTTGGGATACTGGATTCTTTCTCCCCTTTTTGTGAGCAGAGCCTTGGGGCTCAAACCTAAGGGATGGGACCTCACAGCCACCATCTTATACCGTGGCCTCCCAGGCGCCAGCTTCCCAGAGGTGAAGAACGGGGAGGTGAGCCTATAAAGCTCTGTTCATTGTGTCTCAAGAGGCTCCTGATGGGGTGAAGGCAGGCCACTGAGGAGATCAAAACCAGTATTTACACCCTGGTCCAGGCCTTTGGGGCTGCTGGCCCCAGGGCTCTGCCTGTGGAGTACTCTTCCTGGGTCAGGCCCTGGGATGAGCTCATTGATTGCTCACCACCACTGGGTCAGCTTAGGCCTTCTCCATGGTAGGAGAAAGCTGAGGCTCCAGGTGGCTTGTCCCAGGTCACACAACTAGACAGTGGCAGACTGGGATTGACTGGCGCTCAGCTCAAACCCACAGTCTCCCAGGCTGGCTTTTGAGGGGCATGACTGGAGGAGCTCCCACTGTTGTGGTTTGCCTGGTGGGAATTCTGTACCCAGGCCTTTTCTCTTGCCCATTCCAAGGGATAGGTCCATACCTTTGTGGACAGTTTTTCTGGTGTGTCCCAGAGGGCTGGAATAGTGGAAGCTTCTTTCTCAGAGGCTTGGTCATACCTCATTTCACACACCCCCCTTCTGGGAGCCAAGAGGTCAGGGGTCACAGAACTATAGGCTGGCAAGGGGAGGCAGTTAGGAGGATGGGGCCTGGCTCCAGAGCTGCATCTTGCTTTGCTTGCCTGGTTTGTCTTTTCCCCTTTTTGGTCCCGGGTCAGACCACCACAGCTTTCCTTCCTTCTCTCTGGGCTAATTGTTACCATTGTGTCCTGGGAACATTGACTTGAGATCTTCAGCCCCTGAGGCAAGAGCCACAGACTGCTGGGTGAAGTGGTATCTCCCAGGCCTGGGTTTAATGATGGGTTGTCATCCTCTTTCCCTGCCTTCCCTTAGTCTCCCTGTAGTTCCTAGAACTGATCCCACCTGGGCTCTGCTCTCCTCCTCTCCCTGGCTGGTCTTCTGGCTCTGGGAAGCGGGGCGGGGGGCACTGGGCCGCAGCCCCACTTAAAGATGCTTTTTCCCTGCCTGGTCGGGCCGAGGCTGGCTTCTGTGGCACAGACTGGGGCTCAGGGCTGGGTACTGAGGACAAGGGTGGCTACCTCTGGTCACGTGGCTGGAATAGGGCCAGAGGCTGGTGGGGGCTGGCCGGGGTGTGTGGATGGCAGAGGAGGGCCGTGGCTCCTAGCTGCGCCTGGAGCTAGAGGAGAAGGCGCTCAAAAGCTGCTTTTTTGTGAGGACGTAGGGGCACACAGACCTGGGGTGCCAAAGAAGGCCAGAATAGCAAGTACAACAAGTAAAGGGACCTGTGGGACAGTTTTATTTCCCTAGGGTGTCGACTGCCGCTGGAGCCAGGGGAGCAGCCCCGAATAACAGATCCTGGTGAGGAGCGGGGGATGGAGAATTTCAAATTGGTTGGTCAGGGAAGGCTTGTGGGAGAGCTGAGCCCTGAATAAGAAGAAATCAGCCTGGTGGGGGAAGCTGGGGCAGGGAGGAGCGAATGTTCTGGGCAGAGGGGACAGCACATTAAAAGCCCTTATTGAGCATGTGCCAGCCTCCTGCTAAGTACTCTAAATATCTTGTCCTCATGAGGGAAGGAGTGAGGGGTGACCCTAGAAGATGAAGACTCTTAGTGCCATTTGCAGGAAGGTGCCCAGTCTCAGGGTCTCCTGGATCTCCCCAGTGCCCCCAGCTGAAAGTCCAGATGCCTTGGCCTGCATCCAGGCCTTTTAAAGTCTGGGGCCCAGGCCAGGCAGTGGGGAGCCCCAGTGAGCCAGGCTGCGAGGACGGCTGAGTTTCTGTCGGTCTTGGAGGATCCGTTGGGGGTTGGTCCAGCCAGGTCTGACTCAGAGTTCATCAGGGTCAGTGCCAGAGCCAGTGATGGAGAAGGGAGCCTGTGTTTGAGGCGATGATGAACCTCCTTCCCGGTCTTGAAGACAAGTTGGCAGTGCTTGAACAGCCTGTGCTTCCTCTCTTGGGTCCTTCCGGCTCCTCATCACCCTTTTCCCCCCTTCCCCAGGCCCTTGGTGCTTATTGTGCCTAGCAGGAGCACGCAGGCCCGTCTCCCTGCCTCTGCTCCTGGGTCCCCTCGGCTGAGAATGCCATCCCTCCGTCTCCCCCTGGAGAGCCCTTGGAGCTGCAGAGGTTGTGAAGTGGGACCGGTCTGGTGGCGGTTACAGGTTGGGCCCAGTGTCTGGTTGTGGTCATCATCCCATCTCCTGTGCCACCTCCTTCGGTCAAGGTCTCAGCATTCTTAGAGATCCAAGAGCCCGCTGTGAGGACAGCAACTCTGTTTTCTGAATTAAGCAGGGATTGGGCCAAGGTGAGCAAACATGGTATAGTGGACAGTCTGCTTCCACCATTAGCACCACCCTGCTTGGCCCTGAGATCCTGGGCCTAGGTTGTGACCTTGGCATCTCTCATTTCGTCCTCTGGTAAGTGGGGACCAGCAGGCATACCTGTGCAGCAGTGGTTCTCGATCAGGGATGATTCCGCCTCCTCTCAAGGGATGCTTGGGGAATGTCTGGAGACATTTTTAGTTGTCACAGCTGGGGCTAGTCCTGGCCTCTAGTGGGTGTAGAGGCCAGGGATGCTGCTCAACATCATAAAAAATGTACAGGGCAGTTCTCCTCCCCAAAGAACGATCTGGTCCCAGTGGCTGCAGGGCCCAAGGGCAGGGGATCCTCGCTGTGTTGTTACCATACGGAACGCAACGGTTGGCATCTGGGGTGTGTGATGATACTGGGAAGGTGATGGGGAGCCCCCAGGAAGTACTGCCCGATTGATCACGAAATGGCATGAGGTTCTGGGAGCTGGCGAGTGGTGTAGGATGTCTCTGCTGCTGTCTGAGACTTTACAGCCCTGCAAGGGGCTTAGGGGGATGAACAGAAGGGGACATAACTAATAATCACAGCTGGCGTTACTGGGTACCAGTCGCAGGGTAAGCACCAATCCACCGTGTGGCTTGCTGGTTTAACCCTTGAGACAGCCTTGTGCGGCAGCTGCCACCATCCAGCCCATTTTTATAGCTGCGAAGACTGATGTCAGGGGGCAAGTGCTGCTCTGGGTGCATGTTTTCTGGCAAAATAGAGGAAGGGAAGCACATTTCTAAGCTTCCTGCTTTGAGCTTCGGGCAAGATAATAGGATTTGGATTCTCAGGCCCTGCTGAGGCCCCGCATGGTCTCCCAGCACCTGTCAACAAGCCCCATCCCAGTAGCCGTGTGCCCTGCAGCCCTAACAGCCTCCTTCGTCAGCTGCGCCGGTGTCCCCTCAGGGCCTTCACGCTTGCCGCTCCCTTCACCACCCTTGGCGTGGCTACTGCCACCAGGTCCTTCAAGTCTGAAGGCCCCAGGGATTAGGGTGTTAACTCAGAAAGGTGGGCCAGTGGGGGGTGGGAGAGCTGTTGCAGGCCCCGGCCAGATTCCCCAGGGCTGCAAGGAGGGCGTGGGAGGAGAGAGGGAGAAGCACTGGGCTAGACTGCTCATCCTTGGAGGTGGCAGGGAGGGGAGGAGGGTGGGAAGTGGCTAGGGGAGGCTGGGCAGAGAAGGCCTCCCCCAGGGGAGCAGAAGGAGCAGCACCCCGTCTGGCCCTCAGAGGGCACCCAAGACCCCATTTCTGGAGAGGACACATCCAGTGAGGATAAAGAGCCCCAGCTGTGGCCTTGACCTGTCTTGGCTTCCCTTCTTGGCTCTGGCCTCTCTCAGCCCCAGTTTTCCCGCCCACAAAATGGGTCTGGCCACAGTGGCTGCGTGCCTTGGGGAGCGATGGAACCGTGTGGAGCATGGGCTTGGCAGGGGCCGGCCATGGTCAGGAAGCCTCAGCTGCTCTTACCTCTGGATTCTGGGACAGGAGCCAGACCCG